CGAATCATAGAGAACACTAACTCTGATGTGCCTCTGTGTTTCAATTTGATATCATAAGTCATTTAGTGTTTGTTTTATTTGTATTTATAATCCTAGCGTATTTAATTCTTCTGTGAATATATAATTGAATATGTATCGAACTTCTATGTGTATTTTAGGCAGTTTACCTAATCGCAAAAAAACGTTCCTACAGGCAATTTTATTATTCTTGCGTAAAAACATTTCTATTAATTTGCAGTTTTTTTTCACCAGTAAATATATGTCTTTGCATCGGCTATTTTCTTTTAAGTTCCTGGCTTCTCTTGACCAGTACTACTAAACTAACACACGGTATCATAAAGTTAAACAAGTCACTACAGCGACAGCACTACTTTATTGGTATAGTGTTACTCTGCGTTCACTGTTCAGCTAAAAAAAATAAAAAGGTATTCGATGTTGAAAAACATCGATGTTTTTAAGCGATGCTTCGAAAAACATAGATGCAAGGTTTCGATGTTTTACACGGATGTATTTTCTAAGTGGACACCCTTTGTTTTGGTTGTATTGGACGCGTGGACGCTGCTGCTCTGTGATTGGCCAGTGGTGCTGTCCTATCCTCCGTTGCTTGCTGCTTGCATATATGGTTGGAAATATTAAGCTTCTAGATATCAAACTCACGCAACGCAAAGAAATCCAACGCAAAGCAAGCGGCCGGCGCAAGCGACGGACTCGTGAACAATCCTGCCTGCGCGTACGCGACAGATCTTTGCGTATGCGCGAAGCGGGTCACGCAAGCAAGTGAAAAACGCAAGTGAAAGACTTGTGAACCTGGCATTAGATGTGGCTTAAATATTCGCTAAAAAAAACTAAATTCTGAGAATTCCTTAGATGCCTTAGAGAATGGAAAAAGTCTAAGTAGGATGCACATGATGGAAAAAAAGAATTCTGACATTGACATTGGGTTAATTCATTTATTTTTAGGTTGACTTCTTTTCTCGTAGTCAAAGCTCAATAAATTAAAAAAAAAATTGACATTGACATTAGGACATAAAAAGCGGCAAAACAAATGCCATCGGATCGTAACAAAATGTCGAATTTTTGTTGCATTTTATTGTGAAATTTAAGACCAACTGCGTTGTCTTACAGTTACATTGTTAAAAAAGGGATTTTCTCGAATTGATTGTGTTATTAGACGTGTAATCATGGCGTATAAACTATCCGAAGGTGCGCTTGAGGTAACTATCATGTCGAGACTTGTCTCGTTGAAATATCTTGATGTCCACGTTGATTTTGCTTGCAAATACCTTCTTTAACGATAGACGTTCTCGTAATTTATATTTAAGACAATTGGCGTATAGTTATGGTCGGAATTTTTGTAGTATCACACCCGCAAGTTCTTTTATTTTAATTTTGGTAATAGTATACAAATTGGACTCAACACGATTTTAAACTGTAGCCAAAAGGACATCAACCGGTATACTTTGGACTGGTTTGGTGATTTTATCATAATTGAGAGCTCATAGAGTTAATTAAAATCTTAAAGTGTTAAGCAAAACTTATCTTGATCTCGTGCAGCATAATGTTATGAAGCGCAGGTGGCCACTAAGTTGTTATACCACTAAGTAAAGGTGGTCATCATTAAAAAAGCAGATAATGACATGCATTATTCTTACGCAATGTATAAACTCATGTTAACAAAATCTGTGTAATTGGTTATTTGATTTTAAATACTTATTACTGCTTGCAATAACTGTCAGGCTTAAAGAATGGATTACCAATTTGATTTGGGTGACATGCAAATTAGGTGCCTTGATGTTAAATTGCACATACCAGCCCATTACACCAAGTACCAAGTTCAATTTGGGTATAGTATAAAAAATTGATGGCAACACTAAAAGATATTGGGGTTGTTAAAAAAAAGACGAGAGATGGAGGTGAGTGGATGGGTGTAGAGTTGTTTTCCTGAAGGGTCGTATGTTTTTACAGGGTTTAAGGGAATACAATTATATGTGTTGTAGGTCGATTTTAATATTTGATATAATTATTAATACAAAGATGGAACACTCAGAAAAAATCCCTTCGATCCGGTCGTATAGCGTCTGGCACAGTATGCAAGAAGACGTCGGTTCGAATCCGACCGGATCGAAGGAATTTTTTCTGAGTGGTTTTTCTGAGTGTTCGATCTTTGTATTAATAATTATAACAAACTAGTGGAGTAATTTCACAAAAAATAATTGAATATCAATTCAATAAAAATTTAATTTAATATTTGATATCGTCCAGTTAATATCAGTCAATTTAAATCAAATCAAATCATTTTTTTCTTTGTGATTTAAATACAACGGGCACCAATAAAACCCATTTTGTTTAGGTTTATTGGTTAATGATTATAGTCAACAACAACAATAACATTAGCAGATTTCATTGCATTAAAGCCATTATCCGCGATTGAATTCGGGTTGCCATGGTGTTGCTAGGGCTAAAATCGGTCTAAAATTACATTTCATTGCCTGAAAAGTTACATTTTACAAATACTTTTTTTGTAATTAAAAATTCGAACTGTTAAATATATATTCGCCTAAATCCTCAAAATCAAGAAGTGAGTATACTTAAGAAAAATCAAGTTATTACCAGTACTTGATTGATTTCATTTTGTTTGTGCCATCTCTGAGTTACTCTTTTGTCTAATTGGATATGTTCATAAACTATTTAGGATTTACAATAACAAATGTAGTTGAATTTCCTCAAAAGTTACGAAAATTGCCTCGGAAAGATAAATTACATTTTATGCGATAACATCAAAAGTTATGAAAAATATAAGAAATGTAACTACCTGGCAACATTACACAATATTCATTAATAGACAGTTCTTAAACATTTAATATATCTTATTCTTTTTTTCTTTAACACATTCAAATTCTATCTTATTAAAACTTTATCTGTCATGTTTACGAGTACTTGATATTACTATATAGTAACAGGCTGGTTTCTGCACTCAACATCATGGAGTTTCACATCTATTGACTTTTTCAGGTGATCATGAATGGAGGACATTATGATAAACCAGTAATGCAAGTATTAGGCAGTAAGAAGATCCAGGGTAGTGGTGCTAATGAAAGATTCCGTCTTCTGGTATCAGATGGGAAATATTCACACAGCTTTGCTATGCTCGCAACACAGTTGAATGATAAATTGATTACTGGAGAGTTGTCGGATTACTCTGTAGTACAGATTGATAGATTTGTCACTTCTCTGTTAAAGAATACTGGCAAAGGAGAGAAGTGAGTATTGTTATTATTTAATATAATAATAAAAATAAAATAATAATATGTAACTTAAATATTATTAGCTGTAATTTTTGGTAGGACTGCTGAATAGCTGATGTGAAAAGGGGAAGAGTTGTCTTTGGTTTTCTAAAGCTGAAAATAGGTATGGAGCTTCTTTCTGACTAGGTTTACCTTCAAAAAATAATATCAGCATCCAATTCATTGCCGGTTATATTGTAGTTAAGCCTGATCTCTGTATGTATTCCGATTGTAGTTGTGTTGTGTTGTGATCATGTTGTTTTGTAATGTACTATATGTATATCAACATTGTAAAGACTTCTTCCTAACCTTGCTCAGTCTAGAAATTATCTATGTCATCACAATCCACATCTATAAAGCGAAATATCTTTATTTATATATAGGTGCTTCGCTTTTACTTATTGTTACATTTCAGAAGAGTAATGATAATCTTAGACATCACAATCTTAGCACCGGGCACTACAGTAGGCAAGAAACTGGGCAATCCTCAAACTTGGTCTGAGGAATCTGCATCAACATCATCAGCTCCTGCACCAAAACCAACTCCCTCGCCATCTCCTATGGCTCGTCCTCAGCCCACACTTGGCCCTGGATTAGACTCTAGTTTAATTTCCTCTCAAATGACTCATCCTATTGCTAGTTTGAGTCCTTATCAGAACAAGTGAGTATTTTAGTCTGTAAATACATAAATTTTATTGTTATACAAAGATTGAACAAGTACAAAGAAAAATTTACTTTACTAAATGTTAAAACATATTAACTTAAACATTACTTTGTCTAAGTATTGTTTATATTTTTTTTTATTATTATAAATTTTACTAAATATTTTATGTAATAATAATAATATAATAACACACACACCCAACATAGCCCCGCACTAAGAAAACCCTGTATCGCGTGTGCCATGGACACACACATAGACAACCACAAATTACACCCAAACTCACGAGAGAAATAAATGTAGGCCATACAGATATTTCTCCCGGCCCGGGAATATATATATATATTATATATATATATATTATATATATATATATATTATATATATATATTATATATATATATATTATATTCTCACTGTTTTGTTCCACTAAATTATAGCAGAACTATAGCTAAATGTACATATGTTTAATTTACGTGTATTTATGTATGTGTATTTATTATGTGTTTGCCGATATTCCTATTTAATGTACATTATTGAATACAAACTAATCAATCCATTGAACAAACATTTTCATTACATAATTCGACTGTGAACTGGCAACCGGTACTATCGCAATTTTGACAACTTTACAGGATGAAGGAAAAAATTGTTTGCATCAGTTATATAGCACCTGGTTTATTAAAGAACAATACCTAATTTTTTAAATATTTTTATTACACATGTATGTACATACATACACTACGTATTTTTATTAACCATATAATATAATATTTTAATAAACTAGCTGCTATATAAATTATTTTTTCCTCACCTGTAAACTTGTCAAAATTGAGATAGTACCGGTTGCCAGTTCACTGTCGTATGTTATTTCATTGTACATATTTACAATGTACATTGCAAATACACTCCCAGACACACAATTCGAGCCACCTCGCATTTTCCGTATTAAGCGCTCTAAGCTTAAACAATGTTTGATTGATCAAAAATTATTAGGCAATTTTGAAACTAGTATACTAAACGTCTTTTTCATAAGTCCTTGTTGGAAATTTGGATTTGCGAAACCAGGGGAAAACCTTTTCTTCGATGATACCACTATTTTTGTATTCTAGCCCTTTAAGGCAAAAATGCGAGATTGCTCGAATTATGTGTCCGGGAGTATATTTTCTTGTTGATATGTAGTTCTTAGAATTTTCGCGATCTAAATCCCGGTTTGGTTTTTTAAACAATTATACCGACCCATACTGAGGAGCCCTACTCTCGAAGCACGAATACCTTAGTCACAGAACTTTCCCCACTAAGGATGACCCACAGACTTCAAGTTACTATCGGAGCTAGAAAAATGTCTGACAACGCGATTTACAATTTCGAATGGGACTGTTTTTTCGTTGATGGATCTCAGGAGTAGTTCCGTATATCATCCATAGTGGCGAAAACGTAATTACGGATTTCGCGCTTCGAGTTTCAAACAATCCAACATTTCAGGGACCCTACGTCCCTGACAAAACAAATATACACGATACAGATCCGATAAAAATTGTTTCATTTCCAATTTCTTTGTTTTCTGTTCTAGCCTTGCAAATAATTTTAAATTTGAAAGCCTTCATGGTTATACACTAAATGATTCTCATCAGCTTGAAGTTTCTGACTACTATATAACTACCTATTATTTTCCTGATGAACGCTACATGGTCAGGCCAGGGAACATTTAACCTAACCATTCCAATACAAATCAGAAAAACTATGAGATGTTATATTGCATCGTAAGCAACCTCTCACTAGCGGTAATCATAAACTATTATCCACAGATGGATAGTAAAAGCCCGTGTGATGACAAAATCTGGTATCCGTACATGGAGCAATGCCAGGGGGGAAGGCAAGTTGTTCAGCATGGACCTATGCGATGAGAGTGGCGAGATCAGAGCTACAGCCTTTAAAAATGAGTGTGATAAGTTCTACGATATGATACAGGTAAAATATTCCCAAAATAAGAATAAAAATATTATTTCAACTGTTGTTGTCATTAACAACATCATACTCGAATTAAAATTTTAACTTCCATTCCCACATATTTAGAAAAAACTTGTAATTTTTTGTCCTTTGTTTATTTATTTAGAATATTGTACGTAAAAAAAACACTACACATCTTGTGATATTCACAGGTGGACAAAGTGTACTACATAAGTCGTTGCCAATTAAAAACAGCTAACAAGCAATTCACCACTCTGAAGAACGATTACGAAATGACATTCACTCCAGACACAGTCGTGGCGGAGTGCACGGAAGACACGGGTTCCATGCCCACTATCAAATACGACTTTGTGCCAATTACCGATATTGCCAACAAGACCCCTGACACTCTGCTTGGTAAGTTCCATAAAGCTGTAGTACACCGACAGAAAGAGGAAAGGTCGACCTGTACTGTAGCAATTCTGACACATGTTGCACCTCACCTATATTAAAAATTGACACTTCCCACCAATACTACATTGGTTTGTAACAGATGAAAAACAAAGTTAACGCTACTCAAAAGCTTCAATTAATATTTAAAAAGCCCTGTTTTTTTTTTTTAATAAATTATAAGTGCGCATTTGACCTCCATCTCACCTGATGGAAAGTGACGATGAGGTCGACGATGGAGCATGCACACCGAAATAATACGTATTCATTCTCGCCTTCAAAAGACCCAAGTTATAACGTTCAGGGAACAAGTCTGCAGGCAGGGAATTCCACTCCATAGACTTTCGCCATATAAATGTGAAAGCGTAACGCTTCGTGCGAATCTTTGGAATATCCACAACATAGGGGTGGAACCCAAGCCTACGCCTAGTTCCCCGATGATGGAAAGGCGGAATTAAATCGTGTAATTCCATCGCACACTCTCCGTGATATATCCTATAAAATACCGATAAGCAGGCTTTACGGCGGTGTTCAAGGCTCTGCAGCTTCCCCTCCACTAATTCCGAGTCACCTATAAGCCTCTTGTCACGGTTGTCAATTGAATCCAAAGTGGCCAGTTGATATGTAGCCAAGCCATCCCAACGGTGGCAGCAGTACTCCATGCACGATCGGACTTGTACTTGGTACAGCTGAAGCAACTGTCCCGGTGTAAAGAAACGCCTCACCCTGGAAAGGATCCCAAGCTTCTTTACTGCATTTTTGGCCAGGGGGTCAATGTATCTGCCGAAGTTCAAATTGGACGACAGGTCTATTTCAAGTAGCTGGAGACAGTCGGCTATCGATATGGATATATCACGAAAAGATGGAGTCAGCTCAGAGGGATTCCGTTTTGTGGAGAATAGACACGCCTTTTTTTTACGGGGGGGAAATCTTTATAGATATCCCTGAGCCCAGAGAGGCTCAGGGGTTTTCTGGGGACTCTCCCTCCAGACTAAAACCCCCCCGGGTTTACCTCCCGCCGGTTGAGTCGGCGCCGTGGGGTCGGTGCACCACGACAAGAATAGACACGCCTGCGTTTTGGTAGCGTTAAATTTGACAAGATCGGCATGGCCCCAATGGGAGACTGCCTGGAGTGTCAAATCTAAACGGCTAACCATGGACTCTCGACAAGACTGGATTTCCTCTCCACTGACCCTTGCATTGGTGAAGTACCTATCTGCAGCTGTGCTGTCATCATCATACGCAAAGGTACCTGTAATTAACATATAATTGATATGCAGCAGAAAGAGAGTTGCAGACAGTACGGAACCCTGAGGAACTCTATCTATCTATCGCCATATGTTCGGAAGAGTAGCCTTCTAAGACCAAACGAATCTAACGTTCGCTCAAGAAATCCGAGATCCAATTGCAAAGATCTGTGGGAAGCCCATAAGAGGGAAGCTTATACTATAATATAAATTCTGAGTACTCGGAGCTTTGCGTAGTCGAGCATCTGCCCAAGCTTGGTACGCGGACTGTTTATGTGCTTCAGCACAACTACAATCAGCGTTAAACCATGGACGAGCTTGGGGTCCATTGGGTACATCAGAGTATGGTATGTAATACTCCATACCCAAACGCAAGACCTCGACTACAGCATCAGCACAGCTCGACGAGTCTCCTGAAGTAAAGCGCGCCTGTCAGGGACATAACGCAAAGAAATGGCGCATCCTGAAACACCGAGCTATAAAAGGCCAATAATGACATCATTCGTGTACCTACCACTCGTTGAGACGAATCCTTATATCCATAATTTTTGTATGTGCTTGTTGCAGATTGTTGTTTTTGATTTATAACGACTTTTTTTGCCGCAGCGTCGTCTGTGAGAAATATTTCGTATAAAAATTCGTAAGGTCCATTAGTTGGCTCTTCTAAGTGTTCGATCTTTGTATTAATTATAAAAATCTCCCAACCCCCAACCCCCAGTAATTATATCAACGTAAAAATCATGCGCGGCAAACGAAATGAAAAGACATTTTTTAATTTATGGATTTCGCGTCGATGATTAAACGACAAAAATAGCTTTATACGCAATTTCATATCGTTGTATAATAATAGTTCATTAACAAACAAGCAAATTGCCTCCATGGCCGAATGGTTATCATGCCGGACTGCCACGCAGAGGTCCCAGGTTCGATTCCCGGGCCGGGAGAAATATTTGTATGGCCTACATTTATTTCTCTCATGAGTTTGGGTGTAATTTGTGGTTGTCTATGTGTGTGTCCAAAGCACCCGCGACACAGTTTTTCCCTAGTGCGGGGCTAATAAATTGAACTTAATAAGAAATCATTCAATAAAATAATTTGTAAAACTTAATGTAGCGTAAAATTAAAGGTATTTAATTAATAACTATTGTAACTGTAGTGGAAAAAATAAGGTGGTTTGCACCAATATTAGACATAACTGGTTGAAGACTGTACCACCTCAGTCAACCGTGACCATGGGAACTGTAAAGGGCCCGAAACGTCGGTTTGTTTGAAAAAACAAAAATACGCGATTTAAATCCGGAGAAATAGTTTCATTTCCTATGTGTAACAATCGCGAAAACCTAAGAACTCGATTAGATTTATCAACTGAATCAAATATTATCCCGGGGAGGTTTATCACACATAATCAGCCATGCTACGGCCATGGAATAATTTCTCAAAAATAATTGAATATCATGATGGTCAAACATCGTGACAATCAATAAACTTAAAAATTACATTTATTAAAACGACATCTAGTCAGCCGCTGGTAGCTGTAAAGCATCGAGTATATAACCAGAAATAGAGGCGAAATGTCATTTAATTTGTTTGAAAACTACTCTGCCATATCATTACTGTGACAACTGCGCTTCGATTGGCCAGCCCGAGTTCGAAACAATTGACGGGTGTCATCAATGGGTGTCGTCAACTGTTTCACTTCTTATCGACCAGTTAAGTTGAGCTTTTGCTATAATGGACGAAAATTGCAAAATTACATATTTAATTACCGATTAAATTTGGTTCCGTTTGTTTTGTAATTAGATGTTTTACAGTTTTTCCCACACCACTGAATAGAACAGCACGGCATTGTTAGGACATATTATCTTACAATAAATACAGAATATTTTTTGGAATATGCGGAGACGTACACACAGGTCAGTAGTTGGCCTGTCTATATTTCAGTGCAAACGAGAGTTGATATAATAAGAGCTGTGTCGCTAATGTGTTACCAGGAATATATGACCCTTATTCCGTCTCTATTTCTGGTTATATACTCGATGCTGTAAAGGGTACCGGTAGGGCTAGCACAATAGGACGCGACTTCGGCGAGAGCGACATAAAGTGCGAGATACTGCTATTCCCGCATAGAGATCTCGCGCAAGCCGTGCCCTACAGTGCTAGCCCTACTAACTGAGTGAAGAAATAGATTTCTCACAGATGGCGCTACGGCAGATGCTCGTTCACGCCGCAGGTGGCAAACGCTACATATTTAGCCATATAACATGACCGGTGTGGCTCTGACGAACGGCTGTTGCCACTTTGTTTTTGGGATTTTTGATAGCATACTTACTTTTCTAGACTAAGAGGAAAAAATATACATATTTCGAATTTTAAAAAAATTACTTTATTTTCAAATTGAATTTAAAAGTTAGAAACTAAGCAAAATAATGGTTAATGTGAAATGTCAATCTCAAATGAAATATCAATTTTAGGTAAACATCGATCGAACATTACGTGTGCACGCTCTGCCCGGCATTGCCACCGGCGCGGCCTAAACCTAATACGTGTGGCCCACTATAAGTTTCCGGAATGAATAAGAAAAAAATACTATAAATGATCAGAAATGAATTTATTGTTTTTCAAAATATTCTCCATTAGCGTTAATGCACTTTTTGATACGAATGAACCAATTTTGAAAATATGCCACTCCTTGACAAGCTCTAAAACATATGTTTCATACTCTTCGACAGCCTCTTCAGGTGATGAAAATCGTTGACCGCGTAACTGGTTCTTAATTTTTGGAAATAAATAAAACTCACAAGGTGCCAGGTCGAGACTGTACGCGGGATGGCTCATAAGGTCAACGTTGTTCACCTTCAAAAATTCATTTGTCTGTCTGGCCGTGTGAGAACTGGCATTATCGTGGTGCAAGATGATACGGCGTTTACGGTTATTTTTACGGAGTTTGTCAATAACTTCCGGCAAACAAATGGTCGTGTACCAGTCACTATTCTGGGTACAACGATTCTCCAAAGCAACAATAGCCACGTGTCCAGTTTTATTTAAAAAAACAATCATCCGCTTAGAGGCACTTTGCACGCACGCCGCTTTGGTTAGTTTCGGCACATCGCGAAAGACCCATACGCTCGATTGCTGCTTTGTTTTAGGATCGTAACTATAAATCCATGTTTCGGCACCTGTTACTATGTCCCACACCAAATTTGACGCCCCTTCGTTGAATCTGGTAAGCGTGGCATTGCATCAAGTGACGCCACCCGTTTTTTAAGTCTCAGTCATATTGTGTGGGATCCACTGAGAGCACAGCTTTTTCACACCCAAATGCTTGTGTAGTATTGATTGTATTTCACTCATGCCTATGCCTAAAGATGCCCGAATCTCATGGTATGTCACATACCTGTCTGTTTTGATCATACGGCGCACAGCATCGCTTTTTTTGTCGTTGACAGCAGTGGACGGGCGACCATCACGAAATTAGTCACTGGGATTCATATGACCGCGTTTGAATTCTGCAAACCAGCTGTAAATAGTCGTCTGCGTGGTGCTTCATCGCCAAAAGCAGTTTGAAGCCGAGCGAAGCTCCGCTGAGCTGTTAAGTCGTAGAAAATCATACTACGAAAATTTTCACGAGTTAAATCCATGGTGACGTAGACAACCAATTTCTAAAATAACGCCACAATGTAAAAAAAAAGTGACAGTCAGATGAAACAAAGTGTATTCTATAGGCAAAGAGTTCCATTTTCAAATGTTGTACTAACTTTTTAAATATTGTTTATGTAAGTGGCCAGTTCCGGAAACTTATAGTATGTAATTATTGCGTTTAAGCCGCGCCGAGTTGAAATGCCCGGCACTAAATGTAATCCCAAACTAGAGCCAAATAATGAAATATCGCGAAAAAAATTATATACGTATACAAAACAGACCAAAAACAGTCATATAAGCCAATGTCATTTTTGAACATTTTCGAAAATCCTAGTCGGCGACCAACGTGTTAAAAATGAAAAACAAAGATCTGCAACAAGCACATAGAACAAATTCGTAAGGTCCGCCAGTTCGTTCTTTGACTTAGTTGGCATAGCGACTGGCACGGTTTGCTGAAAAACGTCGGTTCGAATCCAGCCGGAGTTATCGCGTAACATATCTACAAAAAAAAATACAATCGAATAGAGAACCTCCTGCTATTTTTTCAAGTCGGTTATAAATTCTTCAAACTTATACTTCCTCTCTTTTTGTTAGCTTTGTCTGTTCTTGTTAGCTTTTGTCCCTTTCGGATAAAATGTCATAGTAAATTTCACTTAAATTTTCTTTAAAACATGAGCATTTAGTCAGTAGAAAAGCAGACGAGGTGTATTTTAAGCACAGATACCTAATGCTCTAGTTTATTAGATGTAATCGGCGTGTGCAATTCGTCGGCGAACATCCAAGAGTTGACTGCTCGCAGCACTGGCAGGTTACTGAAGAAGAGAGAAGTCACCCTTGTCGACTCTTCTGGAGGCGCTGTAAGTAATTTTTGTATGTCCTACCTAGTATTGGATCATGGAAAACTTTCCATTTTCAAAATTCATATTTTTCGGGATATCTTTTCAATATTTTTCCTTCAATTTTCCACATTTGACCTTGAAACCTGTCAAAAGTTGAAGTTATTGAACAAAAACGATGCCGCCAATAAGAATGTTTTCTTTTTTTTCGCTCTTGTGAAATCATTTTAAATCTCGTTTTTTTTTCTAGGTGGTTTATAGCTGTACAAGTTTATTTTATAATTCACGCTAAATAAAAGTTCAAAAAATATTTCTAAACGTAGAACATAATATGAGCTTTCGAAATTATATTTATCCAATTTTTAAAAGAAGAAAAATTTCCGCTTGTTTACGCCTTTGGGAAGACATTAAACGTTTTATATATCTATATATCAAAACCTAAATGATACATAGAGATATGAAATTTCATTTATCTAACTATGTGATTCTGTAACAGATTGTTCTAACACTATGGGGGAACGAGGCTGAGAGCTTCGAAGGATCCTCCAACCCTGTGGTTTGCGCCAAGGTAAGAACAAACCCTTTGAATTGTTTATAAAATAATATACACAGACTTCGCGTAGACAAAATATGAAGAGTTTGCACAGGAGTCCATGTTACTTGTGACGTCTACAATACTTTACAGGGATATGCTCAGTAAAGCAACGTTTGCTTGGGCGGGCCGCAGCCGTACCTTTATTTGCTAAACACCACATTACGTGTTCAATTATTTCAGTTATAAAAATAACCCAAAATGTGACGTTTAAAAGAAAATCTACAACTCGTATCTAGTGCCTACACGTATGGTCAGCAATTTCTTTTCGTTTTCAAGAAAAAAAATATTTGATTTTTTTTGTGTGTTTTCTTTATTTTTTATGTACACTACTTGAAGTTTATAAATTTTCTTTTATAAATTTTTTCTTTTATAAAGTTTATTAATTTATTCGAATCTCAACTTATTAATGAATCATACAAATTATTACCATTTACGTAACAATAGTACTGTTGAATTATCTATTATTGGACTCGACACTGAGTTCTTGTTCCTCGAATAAGAATTTTTACAGTTAAAAGTATTTATTAAATTTCGATTTCGTTTACAGGGCGCTCGTCTAACAGAGTTCAATGGCAGCAAATCCCTGTCGACGACTCAAAGCACCATGTTACGTCTGAACCCCGATCTTCCCGAAGCGCATAAGTTGCGAGGCTGGTATGACAACGGCGGTGCTAACATGGAGATCGTCAACATTTCCGCCAGGTATGATACGTTATAATGTTTTTCCTTCTCAAACATGCTCCGAAATGTTTGCATTAATTTAAATACACAGACAGAGAATTATGTAAACAGACTGAAGAAAAACTGGCATGCAGCTAAATGCTCGCTTTATTGTGCATTATTGCGAGAATTAAAAAAAATGTCTGAGGTATTACCTATTTTGTTCTTAATTATGGTGCACGAATAGGTATTTTTTACAAAGACGCGTTAAAATAAACGAAAATAATTTAAAATAAATAATAAGCAAAAATAAGTTATGTTAGGAAAACTTCAATAATGAACTGTACTCCACATATTTTAAAACAAGGATCTGTCATGGAAAACTTGTTTCCGGCTAAGAGCAAACAAAAATATATGAAAATGTATGATTAGATTTTCTATTATTTAATATCTTTCATTCTTTAGTCTTTTATTATTTCTTTATTTATATACCCCGGCGGAAAAGGATTGTCAGCCTCGTATACGTGCGCAACCTAGGCCAGGAACTAATTTGTGACAAAAATGAGCCTCTTTGCGTATTCTTTGTTAAAAAGAAAAGCTACTATTTCCAAGCATTTGTATAATCGAAAAAAGCTTCAACAGCTATGTAGTCTATACAAAGTACACATGTTCGTATTGTTTAGAAAATAAACCGACGCGCCCATGAGGCGTAAGTACTGTTGGACACGCTCTCGATATTGATTTCCAAATTCATGTATTCTTTACAGAGCGGGCGGCTTCACCGGCGGCAGCAACGAATGGATAACATTTGCCGAAGCGGAAGCGAGACAACTCGGTTCTGGCGAAAAAGGCGACTATTACAACCTCGTAGGCGTCCTCACGTTCACCTTCGCCGACAACGCGGTGTACAAGGCCTGCCCACAAGACCAGTGTAATAAGAAACTTGTGGATCAAGAAAATGGTTTGTTCCGCTGCGAGAAATGTAATAGAGAGTACCCGAACTTCAAGTACCGATTGCTGTTAGGGGTAAGTTAAAACGGATATTTTTTAAAGAAAGATGCTTAGTGCAATTTTCCTGTCATTTTATTTTTAATAGTCCTAAAATTAGGAAATGAAACTATGTTTTTGGACCCGGGACCGTGGGATCTATAAAGGGCCCGAAACGTTGGTTTATTTGAAAAAACAAAATATACGCGATTTAGATCTGAAAAAATAGGTTTTTTTTTTAACGCATATACTCCTAGCCCCGCACTAGGGAAACCCTGTGTTGCGGGTGAAATGGACACACAAAAAACCACAAATTCACCCAAACTCACGAGATAAATAAATGATGACCATGCAAATATTTCTCCCGGCCGAGGACCGTGGCCGTTTGGCCACGGAGGCATTTTCATTTCCTATGTGTAATCGCGAAAACCTAAGAACTCTACATCTACTTTTTTGTTTAGACTACAGTTATGATTGTAATACGACAACTTTATTTGTTAATTTCTGAGTACTCTGAATACTTCTGAGAAATTTTCATAGTATTTTACGCTTTAACTTCTAACTACCTTGTATATTCACTGTATTAAGAAACAAAACATATATAAAGATGACAAGCATTTAAATACCTATCGATTAACACTAGAATCATATGAATATAATGTGTAACTATTTTTAAAATAACAGTCACGGGTAGCGACGAAAATCGCGAAAATTTGCGAAAATGGCGTAAAAAAACTATAATTCGCGAGAAAGAAAATTGACGAATCCTATAACAACTCACAATGTAACGACCTAAAAGAGGTTTTGATACAACCTCTTATTGAATAAAGTTATGTGTTTACGTGATATTTTGCTCCAAAATAAAAACCTATGACTTTTAGGGCTTTCACGTCCGACTGTTTTACAGTTATCAAAATTTCAATATTTTTCAAGCTAATGCTAATCTTGGAGTCGATTAGTATTATCTACTACGGATACTTTCAGCATGACAGGACAATTGTTATTATGTTGTAAATTACAAAATTTCGGAGCTCCCTATGCTCGCTACAAAATGTTTCATAAACATTCGTTTCCTACCAGGCTAATGTATCCGACCCTACGGGCGACCAGCGCATCACTGCATTTAACGAGGCGGCCGAGGCGATGCTGGGAAAGACCGCAGAGGACATTGGCAAGATGCAAGAGTATGACAAAACGGGCTACGCTCAGGTCTTCGAGGATGTCAAGTTCAAGACTTTCCTCTTCAAGTTTAGGACTAAGATGGAGACTTTCAGTGTGAGTATCAATATTCTTGAGATTTTATACTACATAGAACTAGGTAGTATTTAAAGCCCGAGCCGATGTCTGAGAAATTTAAAAAAATAATTAATCAGCCATTCTGATATCAGGATGGCTGGTCGCCACTTTGTTCAGCATGAAGGGAGCAGATTTTTCAGAAGTATGTATTACCAATAATTGCTACCTATTTGCTATTTTCACGAATTAAAGGTATACGCTTCTTATCTACATTAGTTTAAAAAAATATAAACGATTGAAAATTTTAAGGCACTTAAAACTTTTGGGTTTTTTTTTATTTAATCAGGCACTTCTTCGTAAAATTTTCAATCGGTTATATTAATTTCATTCGTTTTTCATATCTGTATTAATAATTATCACAAACTAGTGGAGAAATTTCACAAAAATAATTGAATACCATGGTAGTAAAACATCGTGATATTCAATAAACTTAATAATACAATTATTAAAGCGACATCTCTAGTCAGCCGCTGGTAGCTGTAAACGTACCTAGCTCAGTGAAGAAAAACTTTCATAGATTTCTTACAGATGGCAGCGCTACAGCAACTACTGGTTCAAGTGTTTGGTCTTTGTATTAGATTTGCAATAAAAATTTTTTTCGAGTGTGATAATTGTCAATAGTACAATCACCAGCTGAAATAATATTCCTTAAGAAGTCCTTATTTTTGGAAAGCTTTACCTGTATCTTATCGTAGAACTTATCATACAAATTCTTTAAGGCTGTAGCCTGTAGCTCTGATCTTGCCACTCATCGCATAGATCCATGCTGAACAATTTGTCTTCCGCCTGGCGTTGCTCCATATCGTCGTCGAGTGAATACCTCGTATTGTGATTTCTATATAATTTTTCAGGACAAAGATAAAAATGTGGTATAAAATGTAGTAAACGCAATAATGTTTGTAGTTAGTATTTTAATGAATTAAATTATACCTCTTTTAGATACTATTTTACTTTAATAATATATTTGAGCAAGAAGTATATAAGTTTTTCTTCAACAAAAATCAGTAAAAATGAACTATGTGAAAACGCATATTATGCGAGGTTTTTCACTCATAAGGCGACGATGTTAGATACCAGATATCATCATATGGGCTTTTATTATCCATCTGTAGATGAGTAATAATTATTACAATAATTCTAGTTATTATTGTTTTGATAATCGCCCAAACTGTTGCTACTTTTTTGTATTTGTTATGCTAAATAAATACATTGTTGTATCTACTATTACAATTGTTCGAGCAAATCGAGATCCTAAATCTTTGTGTTTTGAAATGAATAAGACATCGTTCTAATTTTTTATTAAAATGGCGCCATCTGTCATATTTCGATACCATTGGAGGTATAACACTAGTCCAACTTAATTTTTTTTTCCCAAATTATTTCTTTTTTTTTTCCACAAAATTAGTTTTTTATTCTTTTTTTCGAATTTTGTTTTTGTTTTTTATTTTTTTAACAAAATTCAGAGAGCATAATATTAGTAAATAAATATGGCTGTTCACAAACATGGAAATGACCAAAAAGTAAAGGACGTATCCATTTATGACCTATTACCAAAATATTTAAGTTGATTTCCTTACTATTATAGTCATTGCATCGTGTCGTCTTTTTGTGAAAACCTCTCGTCTAACAAACCTATGTGCATTTTCAGGACGAAGCCAGATTAAAAACAACCGTAATGAACGCCCAGCCCGTGGACTACAAAGACGGAAACGCGCGCCTTATAAAAAGCATCAAATCACTTACCGGTGTAGAAGTTTAAAAAAACCTCTTTTTATAGAAGATCAAGATTTGAAAAATATGTTCGGTTTATTGAAGTCAAAGAGCTGAAGACCCGTGTTGCCTTTTTTGTTAAACTTCAATACTTTTTGAGCGAAAGTAGATACTTAATACTGTTCATAATATAAATTGATTAAGTAAGGTTGTCTAAAGCAAAGCAAACCGAATTAAGTTACTTAAACCTGATTCCATTTGTTTGTTTTAATTAAACCCAATTGGGACGGTGCCCCAAAACCTAAGTGAAACACTGCCGTGCTTACGATAAGACTAGTAAGTCTATATGTACCTATTTCAAATATACTTACTGTTAATTTTGTAAGCACAGCACAATACAGTTGTGATCATGATAGGTATTCCATTAATAATGTTTGTATTTTAGATTTAAATTATGCGAGTGTATTTTCTGTTGTATAAAAAAGGCAGTCTAATAAATGTTTGAATACAAATTGTGCTTTATTTTAAATGTAGCAAAATGCGCATGTATTGAGTTGCTGAAACCGATTACGGACTTAAAGCAATGCCACACGGGCGTTGCGTCGTCGCGACGCTGTGTTCTCTGCGTACTAAATTGTTTGTGGTGACCATTGATGGTGGCACTCCGTTTCAACGCATCGTGTGGCATATCGTTCTGATTAAAGCGCAAGCCACACCGATAACGAAACTAGCTAGCCTATTGGCTCATAACTTCAAAACGGTATAACAACTAAGTCTAGTTTTTTACGACTAGAACCGACTAAATCGCGACTTATTTTTAGTGTAATCAGATCTAAGCTAGGTGTTGTGGTTCTCGAGATTGAGAAATGGTGCCGCTGGAATAAGCTTATACTAGACAGTAAAACACCCTTACAACTTTTGAACGGCGGACCGACTAAATCTAATTTTTTGCGACTAGAACCGACTAAATAGCGACTTATTTCTGGCTAATTAAATTTCCAGTGTGGGTCAGGATGGCGTGACCGTCAGGATGGCGTGACCGTCAGGATGGCGTGACCGTCAGGATGGCTGGTCGCCTGTGGCGTCTATCACTGAGTGTATATTCAAGAATTGCTACCTATTTGCTACCTTTTCTAAATAATTGCTACCTATGATATATTCTGAGAAATTAAAAAAAATTTGACCAGCCATTCTGACGTCAGGATGGCTGGTCGCCTCTTTGTTCAGCATGAAGGGAGCAGATTTTCCAGCAGTATGTATTATCAATAATTGCTACCTTCATGAATTAAAGGTATACACTTCATATCTACATTAGTTAAAAAAATATAACCGATTGAAAATTTTACGAAAAAGTGCCTGACTAATCTAAAAAAGCAAAACTTTTTTAGTTCTTTATTGCCATAAACATTATAGGCGTTTAACAACTACTTCGAGGCGACCTAATCTGGTGAGGTTGCTGATGTATAAAATCGAGATGGTAGGTAACCATCATAACGCAATATGTGTGTCATTTGTCATAAGTGGATCAAATTGTTTTACTTTAATTTATCTGAGGATTCAAAGGTTTTGCTGTTGCTAATATTGAGTTTAATATTTATGTTTCTGGTTTAAGTAGTGTTTGAAAAGAGGGAGGAAGTTTGTTATGCCACTCGATGAGCAAAAAAAATGCATTACTGCAAAAAAAGTATTTTTCCAGTAAATCTGATTTACCGCCGCCTAGCGATCCACTGTAGTGAAAGTATTGTAGTAGTGAAATTAGTACCCTTTTATCACATAAAATTTCCACACAAGCAATATATCTTTCTGTAAAGAAAAATTTCGACTTTTTCTTCAGTGGCCCTGATAATCCTGCTGTTCGTTATGAAGATCAAAACAAAATTCTGTCTAATGATAATCAATCAAAAAAGGAATACAAGGACGAAGTAGCAGTCAGTTAAACAGTAATTTATAATTTTATATATTTTATAATTCGTTCCCACCTATCAGTGGGAACGAATGCAACCGTTAGGTAAACGTATAAAGTTAAATCATGGACCTGAGACTGTATTTAGAATGAAACATCGTTTGCCTAAGCATCAGTACGCCCATCTTTTGCGCGAAAAGATTTGGGAAGTTCATCCCATTGCACACAGTTGGATATTTAAAAAGTATTCTATTTCTAAGAATAATAAAATAACGTGCAATGGAATTTGCAAAGAATAATAAGGATAAGAAAAAATAAGGCTAACACAAAAATTATATATAACTGGCCTTCGAATAAAATAGCCCTGTGTAAGTGCACTGTAACAAACTACGATAAAGATTTTGTTCATACTTGTGCTAAAAAATTAAAATTATATAATTTTTGTAACAACTATATAATTACAACTAAATTCTTTGTTAATATTGCGTTAAGATGGTTACCTCTCGGTTTTATACATATGCAATCTCACCAGACTAGTTCGCCTCGAAGTAATTGTTGTACGCCTGCCCTTTATATTATGGCAATAAAGAACTAAAAACTTTTGCTTTTTTAGTTTAGTCAGGCACTTTTTCGCAAAATTTTCAATCGGTTATATTTTTTAAATTAATGTAGATATGAAGCCTAACCTTCACGAATTAAAGGTATACCTTTAATTCGTGAAGGTAGCAAATAGGTAGCAATTATTGGTAATACATATTTCTGGAAAATCTACTCCCTTCATGCTGAACAAAGAGGCGACCAGCCATCCTGACGTCAGAAGGCTGGTCAAATTTTTTTTTTAATTTCTCAGAACATATCATAGGTAGCAATTATTTACAAAAGGTAGCAAATAGGTAGCAATTCTTGAATATACACTCAGTGCCAGGCGACCAGCCATCCTGACGGTCACCAGGATGTCTAGAAAAAAACTAGATATACAAGTCAAACTGCTCATTATTTACTACCTATTTTCTACTATTTAGTAGCTTTATTGACATATTTTCTGCCTTTGCGCTAACGGAAATATTAAAGAAACAAAGTGGCCAGCCATTCTGACGTTAGCATGGCTCGCCACTTTTTGATACCTCATTTGATCCAGCCTTCCTGACGAACACAAATTTCCAAAAGTCGACCATGGTCGCGCTGGAATAAAGCACGCGTATTTATCGTCAGACTCTTTTCAAGAGCTAGAAACCCATTGTCACGGCAGTCTGTCGTCGTAACGTCATAAAGTCGTGAACAAGAGTTCATCGTGTTGTCTATGTATGAACAACACGAGAATTCATCGTGTTGTTCTGTGTGTGAACAACTTTATTTAAATATACCAGCCACGACACTATCTGTCGTCACGACATAATGTGAAATTCGAGACTGCTCAAGAATTCTTCGGTAGACGTGCAATCTGTTTTTTAGCTTTTTTTGGTTAAGCTTGTATCGTTAAAACTAAGATTGTTGGTTCCACCATCTGGACTGGACATCAATACTTACAAATCCTAATGCACGCACTAGTGGAACCAAAGTCCGAAAGGCTCGGCTCGCACCTAGTTTGTACGTTACACAAGGTTACAGAAAAGAAATTGGACTTGCACATAAAGTCCTGGTTTTTTTAAACTTGTGAATTGTGTAGTCTTTTATAGGCGTAAATTTTCAAAAATAACCAAATAATTGGAATTGGATATATTGTAGGTAATGGAGCGTAAGTAAACAAAACCAACACTATTTTCACACAAATATTTATGTGGACTGTGAACCTGTTAATTTTTTTATTGAGGCAAAATGTAAAGTTCTGTTATATGTGTAGTCATAGTTTCCAGTATGATCACGAGGAAGTCCCGATAAAGGGTTTTAGAATGAAACACAGTTCCACTAAGTAGTTTATTTTATTCAATCTCATTGATATGACTCATAATTTGGCTAAGAAATGGACATTCATGTGTGTACTCGGGCAAAAGTGATGTGAAATAAGATCGATAGAGATTCAATAATCATGAAACCTATTTACAATAAAAAAACATACTCATTAGTATGTATTATACATATATGTACAGGCTGTTGGTTCTTGACTGCAAACCTTTAACATCATTATTTAGTATCACAAACATAAATATTAGTAGCTGTATATGTAGCAATATTGTCCAATAAAATTATAATTATAGCCGTAAAGCAATTTACAACTGCTTCAACGTGTGCATAATAAGGATTTTAAATAATTTACGAATTAAAATTAACTTGCTACAAAGACCTTTCAAATTACAATTGACAAAATGGCTTTTGACATATTGCTTATATAGGAATAAAGAATATTTGGAATACTAATTAATTTTTACGGAATAGTAAATATTATCTAGACCAGCTGACCTAGATAACTAGTGGAGTACGTTCACAAACAAATATATAAATAGTAAATATATCAAACAATGTCAAGGAACGAACAGAAGACGCTTGAGCCGGGAAGGATGGGAACTAAGATTTAATATTAAAAATCCATAGTTTTAAAAAGCACCTTCTAGTGTTTCGGGCCGTACATAAAAGCTAGGCGGGCCGCTTGGGAGAGCCGAACAAGATAAGACAATAAAACCAGTTTTGTTGAAAGAGACGCAAGAAAAAATGTATTTATATTTTTGCTTATTTACTGATTGTGATACCAAAGAACCTTTTTAAAGTTTTGCATTCCACTACCAAACGCCATTGTATTGACAACTTTTTAAATGATAGAAAACTTTAATCTCTTTTTACTAACGAATTCAACAATTTTCATTTCCTATACCAAAATGATACAACAATCAATACTTAAATATTTCGTATAGGAAGTTGTAGAATTGTGAACGTCATAAATTTTACTTCGCGAGTCTGAAGCACCAAGAAAAAATTTCGTTCTAAAATTTATCTTATTTTGATTTTGTAAATACAGAATAAAGTGGGATTAAATAAATGTTACCAATTGACTAGTACATCACAATATTACCCAAGTACGGTGTGAATTAAATTAATTAACTATGTCACCCGTCAATAAATAGGGAGGTTATTCTAACAATGTACACATATGGAGTCCAACCAGTAACTGTACATACGAACCCGTACACCATAAAGGAGATGTAGATTTTACGATTTTCAGGGCTTTATATTATAACCAATAGAAAGAAACCTGTAGCTAGTGATAATCACTTTCAGCTGTAGTTGTTTTTAATTACTGTTTTACGACTTATAATTATATTTAAAAGTACAATGTAGCCTTTGTTAGTTGTCTTTCTTTCAAGTTCTTATGTTATAGCCGAGTCCCGTACAAGAGCGTGCGCTGAGGGACCCCACGTTATCTCACGATTGAATGCTTGGTTCAACAAGTCAAGGCAACGACCAGATTAAGATTCCGGCGTGGGTGCCTACTATGACTAACTCTTTCTAGCAAACGTGTAGGGTACCAAAAGTCCATCTTAACAGTAAATACAATAAAATACATGTCCATATTTGATTAAAATATGTGACTGTTTACATGGCAGTGTGATATAATACCATATAGCTGGTGTCTTAACTTAAAATTAATAAATAATAATAGTCTACACTGAAGTTACACAACACGATAAGATTCTGTAACATTATACAATTCCGATGCCTTTATCGTATAATGCGTATGTGTATGTGTCTGAAGCTGTTGGCACGCCGGTTTTACTAATGCTACTATTCTCTGATCCATTACATCTCTAATGAAATTTATACTTTAGTGTCGTGGCCATCCTTTCAGGGTCACTGGGTCCAAGAGCAGAGTTTATATGATTTTTATGTAGAACTTAATTGATTATTTATTTCAGTATGTATAATATCTGTTGCACCGGATTTATTATTCAAAATAGCAACACTGTTCAATAAAAATAGTGAAATGAGAGTGGGTGTCACTTTGGAGTTTTAATTTTTTTGGGTAATATGAGAAGAATAGACAGCAAATTTGACTCCGTGTGAGCTTTATTACACTAGGAAATTAATCAAGTCTGGCCCTAATTTCATGTTATTTTATTTATAACATAACCAGAAATTTTACATACAACTAACACATAATAGCTTAGCAACTGCCAGTAGCATTTCTTTTCGTCGCCAACTTTAACAGGTGTGGTGAGTCTTTTCTACTACGTTTCCACGAAATATCACTGGGTTTATCGTAACTTTATTAGTAGTTACGGCGTGACGTTTATTTAAATTCTGTGACACATTGTTATGGAACACTTTATCAAATGTTACATAACTTCAGTGTAGGAACACCGTAAATATAGAATAAAAATCAGTAATTAACTAATGAGTGATAAGAATACTAAATCGTACAAATCTTACAAGCTAAAATTAGGATTGTACTTAAACATAGTGATGGGAAATTCTAATTTAACATGTTAATAAAATAGCAGCAAGCTGGCAGGTGTTATAAACTGCCTAAATTGACAAGAGATATCACAAAATCAAACAAGTATAAAATATTAAAGCCGTCATAACCAAATTTTAAAGTTACGTGGGAATGGTCTCTATACATACACATTTAGACTAAACAAATTCATTGCGTCAGATTAACTGAGAACATGAATTCCGTATATACCTAACAATCATCTTATAAGTATTGCTCGCACAAGTCAGACTTAGTAGTTCGATTTATCGGATCGATTGTCGATGACTTCCTTTCTGAAAGATTCAACGCACAGACCGTGTGTGTTACGCATAAAGCCGGTTTTACATTTGTCTCATATCATTTCATACACACAGCACAAGCCGTCACGTCAGCTTGCGACACACTAATATAAATCTAACCATGTTAAATGTAAGAAACCGATACCGTTTTGACGCGTCACGACACGACACGTCACACAAATATAAATCCGACTTTTATTTTTATCAATCGGTTCATTTTCCACCGACAATCGAATCGGTTGAGCACCGCGCCGATTTAGATTGACTTTTATTATTGGTCGTGTAAATTGCTAGTGTGGGGGGTTAATATTTTTTATACATTTCCAAAAAAAAAAAATCGGCCTACGATTGTCCGACATCTGCGAGCACCGTTAAACTGCAACATTAATGATTATATTCATTTGACATTTACATTTGTGTTACTGCTAAATTATAGTATTCAGTACAGTACACCAGATAATAAGTTTAATATAGTTTTAGATAAACATTAAGAAAATATGAGTTTATTATTAAAATAAATTATTCCTCTTCAATTCCAAAAAAGTTTGTCTTACTTTGAGGTCGCACGAAATAAAATGGAATGAGATTCATGGCAATTATCACCGAGAAGGTCGAAATTAATCAACGTTTTAAAACAGATCGATACACTAGATAGTTTGAATTACGTATAAATATTTAATAATAAAATAGATTTACACAGTAGCAAGTTAACCATTCTATAAGGTAACTTTAATAAAGACGTACATTTAAATTCCATTAAATATCTCAGTATGTATTCATAGCCCGTAATCTCGAAATCGATTAAAGTCGGGAGCGACGATTCACGCGGACGTCGTGTCCGCCAAGTCCACTCACTCAGTCCAGTCTCTACGTTAATTGTGCACTAACACTTAAAATACGAGTTCGTGTTATAAAACGCAGGTCGTAAGTGATACAGATTAGTTGAGCGATCTTAGCAGTGGGGAGGGTCGCCTGCCCGTGCCGGCGAGCCGCCTGCCCGCCGCCGCCGCCGCCGCAGCCGCTGCGCTTGCGCATTGCGCGACCACACGCGCCATTGAAGAACAACAACGCAACGATTACCACTAAACCAATAAATAAAGCGAATAAATAGAGCGCTCTTTGGAACGGATTACACTCGAGGTGCGTCAGTACGAACGCGGGTGAATTCGTGCCGCCGCGGACGCCAGACGAACTTAAAGTAACCTAACATGTAAAAACCAGAATATCGCCCCAATTAAGGCGGCCCCTTGCTCTTTAGCGATCGATTTACTTTTAAAATGAAAGCTACTTTTTCATCTCCAATTGAAATGTACATCCCGCCTTATCAATCTGATGTACGGAGACTGCCTGTATGCAAACTTCACGTACGCATCGAGGTTCCGACAAATACACAAGCGGAAATAACGAAATACAACCAGCGCTAGGTCGAAACGAGTGTACGAACTCAATAGAAATTATAATATACACTAACAATTTGATATACTCGATTCCATCAGCAAATTTAACCGAAACGAGTATCCCAAACTCGCGAAAGAAACTATGACGCGAGTAGAATAAATCCCGGCCACACCGAGCCGCAGACTAAACATGGAGCCTACGACCGCCGCCGCCGCCTAGCTACAGTGCCCGGCTACACCGAACTAGAGCCGAACTCCCCGAAACAGCTTCGCCATGGAGAGCCAGTGGCCGGGCAGTGCAGGCGAGGGCGTTAGCAGGGCGTGGGCGCGGGAGTGGCGCAGCGCATCAGATCCAGGTGCCGCGGGGGGCGGCGGGGGCTGCGGCGCGCGGGGGTGGCGCCAGGAGCGGCGGGCGCTCACGGCACCAGGTCGGGCAGGCGCCCGCGGCCCTAGGGGCGGCCGCTGCTCTCCGCCGTCACCACCTGCAAACGCACCACGTTCTTACCATATGAGTTAGGCTTGCCAGATGGCCGGGAAATCCGGGATTGTTCTTCGTCTTGTCCAGTGATTAAACTTTACTGTCCCGGATTCCAAACATTTAGGGCCTTCACAATGCGACGCGGATGACATACGCCGACGTCTGTCGCGGATGATAAAATGTATTATGCCTTTACAGCACATTCAGTGCGACGCGGTCGATGAAAGCTATAGGAAAGTGTCCGCGTGCGGACGCGCACTGGTTTTTACGTACTCATTCAGTGCACGGCGGTCTTTCGCGCGGAGCGGTTGTCAGATACTGTCGTCACCATGGCTGCGTCAATTGAAACCGATAGGGTTATTCAAGAGGTACAACTTCGACCATGTCTATGGAATCTCCGCGACAATTATTACAAAAATAATTTTAAATTTCATCTTCCTGCAACTCCAAAAACAAAAATCCCCAGACGCTGCGCTGTAGTTGTGGGAAGGAATGTCGAAATATTGATTGCGAATGACGTAAAATTTTTGTAGGTACTCAATGAGTATCAAAAACTCCCAAAAGATGGCAGAAAACAATGTTACGACCATGTTATAACGGTGAAATTAGATGGCCATCTGACAAATTAGTTCTAGTAGTAGACAGCCCGTCTCCCTTACCCCAGTAGAATTGTCCCGAAAATGATAAGTCAGCATCTGGCAACCCTATACTGCAAACTATATCTATATCTGCAAACCCTTTCACCACGATACCAAACATATTATGTATGCCATCGATACCATAAAAATAAAATTACTGTACATTTGATTTTAGATGAGCAGGACCAAAAATAACATCAACTTGTTAGACGATTATTTACTTTTTAGAGACGGTTAGAAAATTTGCAATACAGTAAAACTTAAAACTGTATTTACCGTTCATAAATGTTGCCTATGACCACTTACCACTGATTACTGTTTGGTTACAATAGAAGTTTTGAATCAACCATCAAACATTATTAAATCAATTAATTATGTGCCTGGTCGTCATTTATTTCCAATTATGTCCAGTGATACTAGACATAACTATCTATATGCGGTATTGGTATTCGGAGTCGGCGGTGCTAAGTGTCCACAAAATATACCAACCATATATCTTAATGGTGTGCCTCTAAACAGGTAGACCATTTCAAACACTTGGGGCACATAGTAACGATCGGCCTTGGAGATAATGTTGATATGGAACGTAAGCGGACGGCATTGTCTAGGAGAGCGAATATGTTGCCTCGCAGGTTTGCGCGGAGTTCAGTAGGGGGTGAAGGTCATTCTTTCGTGCATACTGCACCTCACTGTATACCTGCGCACTGTGGGCCAACTATTCGCAAAGAGTGATATACAGTATGCTCCATTCAACATGCGTTTAGTGCGTTATTGGGGCTACCCCGCTCCTGCAGCGCCTCAGGCACACAACTATGCGCAAAAGGTGCACATCACTGGTGCGGCGCAGAGTGCGGGCCAACCTCAATATCGACCTAGCTATGATCGCTGGCAGTTTAGATTCCCCCTTTATTCGGCATTGGTGAGATAAGCATGCCCACTATGGTGCCGGTTAAGAGGGAGCAGAGGAAAAATTCCTAATCTTCGATTTGATTTTAGAGGGGTATATCCACTTTAAAGTCAAAAATAAAATATTGTATGAGTAACTACACAATATATTCAAGCATAGACATTAATCAGAAACATAAAACAATAAAGTTTCCTCGATAGATAAAAATCACGATATGACATCTAATTTTTCACATTTTTTCGATTTATCCTCGAAATGCTACAGGTTATTAGGACAAAAATTAGATAATTAATTGTATTTATGCATGATCGACAACTGTCACTACGGATGTTTTTTTAATCCCTTTAGTTTTAGAGCTATTCCGCTAAAACGAATTTGGTACTTTTAATGCGCAAAATTCAACATCTCCTGTCGCATGTCACGCGAACTTCAGACATATATTTGTTTCACAAATTTGGGCGAAGACAACGTCAAAACTTTTTTGGCATGAGAGCTCTTAAGGAGGCAATCGACGTAGACATCCACAGATTACAGTTATGTCATTTTTTTTGTCATTTGAATTGGAATTTTGGCTTTTATTTAATTTTATTTCAACTTTGTTTCACTTTATTTTATTTTATTTTATTTTATTTTATTTTATTATTATTACTTTTTATTGACTTTTTAACTCGAATTATATTATTTTACATTAACTGTATATATTTCAATTTCACTGTAATTTATTTTGATATGAGTCGTTGTCGCCCGAAATAAACGATTTTTATTTTTATTTATTTTTTATTTTTTTTATTTTATTGCATTACATACCTTACGCTCCTTGTAGTACAGCTCCTCGCTCTCCTTATCACAGAGCAGAAGCACAACAGCACCGAACAAGAAGATCGCTGCTCCCCACCCCACGCCGTACGCCCATCCGAATTCCCATACCGATCTATTGCCTGTCAAACATACATAAAATTAAAATAATCGTAATTACACACAGGCATACACATTCAATTAAATCAAAAGTTTCACAGTAAGAATCATTTTTTTTGCACAGTGACATATTCTGGTCCATTCTTACTTAAAAGTATTAAAGCGCGAGTTATCGTACGCCCCATATGAACTATATTTGCTTTTTACATTCTTGATGCAGAAGTGTCACTGCTGTAGCTAACCTATATCAACTGTGTGATATACCTGAAATTTTGGCAAAGGAGATTAATAATACAGAGTTTGTTCCTCCCCGAGTTAGTTTCCTCACTGCTGAAAATCCTTCGTCATCTTAGCGCAGTTGTTCCCAAACATATTTAGATCATGGACCCCTAACCATTACAAAAACTTAATCATGAACTCTCAAGTAAATGAATGATATAATAAAACTTACTAAAAATACTAAAAGTATGCATGATCATTTTCATCCGCGCCGCGTGGTCAGGTCAGGGTAACATCACATTTCAAATTTCATTTAACTAAAACTTTGTTTTTTTTTGCGAACCCCCAGCAATTCTTCGCGCATGCTCAAAATACTTTTTACCACGAGCCCCTTAGATCGACCTATAGACCCCACGGATCCATAAAGACCAGTTCGGGAAACTTAGTTTTAGCGGTTTGTGTGTTGTTAATTTACCACTATTTAAAACTGGGGAGTTAAAACATTTAGGGTTATTTGCATGTTTACAGTATTGTGAAATGTTTAATAATCGTTAATAAGTTTTCAGGTAGGGTAGTTTGTGTTGTAAATAAATGAATCTATTAGAAATCTATATTTGGAGAGCACGAAAGGAGTCTCCCCGCACGACGTACCATTCCTTTCCAGTACGTTTGGCGCACCCTGGGCAACAATCGGCGAGTATCTTAAGCCGATTGGCAAGTCCTTTCACCACGATGGCAAGTATTACAGTCTGTGCCATAGTTTCCCAAAGTGGTCGCCCCCCAACGGACGCTGAAGATCCTAGAGGGGCGGTAGGGGCCTCGAATTGGGCGGCGTTGATGCTGTCCAAGGGGTGCTACCGCATTTTAAAAAATTGAATTATCTATATAAACTACACTACATATAATTGTTTTTCCTTGTGATTTTATGTGTTAAGTTAATATAAAAAATACGTGTTCTAATTTTTTTTTGTGGTGGTGGGCGTTGAAATTTTTTTATCTTACCTAAGTGGGCCGGAAGCCAAAAAGTTTGGGAACCTCTGATCTATGCCATCGATATGATAAGATCTAAATTTAAATATTTAATAAATATTTAAATTTAGATCGAACAACAGACACTTTGAAATCAAAACCAGCACCACCTTTCCAAGATCCAACGGTGATTCGTCAGCCATTTTAAGAAGCCATTCTAAGAATGTAGACCACAGAATTGAATTAAAATAGTTTTAACAACTTATGACTTAATTGATTGCGTATAACCGTTAAATTGTAAACACAGCCTTTTGATTATTACCAAATTCGTCAAATCGGCATTCCATTGTCTATACGGATTGTCACGAACTGTGAAAATTACCCGAAGTTCATATAATTTAAATTTCCAATATCGAGTACTGAGTAGCCTAAAGGCGCCTTCAAATTAGTAGGGACACGGAAAAAGTATCGATACTTTTTGGTATCGAGTCCTTTCCCTCCGATACCGATACTTTTGTACTCGATACTTTTCAGATATTAGTACTTTTTGACAAGTATCGTATCGTTTCGAATAATTCCTACTTAGGACACGTCATGTAATAACGCAAGCCACCTAGCGGTTCTTTTTTAATGGGAACCTTTATCACAAATTACTTAGCTGTATATTGTATGCCACCATTTGCCTCTTTAAATAAGTTTGTACCTTCTTTAGAACGTTTATTCTCAAAAGCAGGAAATATGGTAACAAAAGCGAGAAACAGACCGCCATCAAACAGATGTTTGTTTTTAAGTGATTGTACAGAGGAGTGGGAAATTTAAAATTTAAGTGACACAAATTATGTGAAATGACGATTGATTGAATTGATCAATATTCTTTTACTATTTGTTTCAATTAAAAATCGTAAATCAACAAAAAAAGACAAATTCATGTGTTCAATTCTGCCTTTAAGTAGGGAAAATCTGCAAAACAAAAAGTATCGATACCTTGAGGTATATATTGTTTTGATAATTTTATGAGTACGATACTTTTTATGCGATACTACTCATGAGTACGGTATCGATACTTTTAATTCGATACTGTGTCCCTACAAATTAGACGCTTGTAGAAGCTCTGCAGTGGCGCGCTTGTGGCGCTAATTACTAATACTAATTTTTATGCAATATTTGGAAACGTACCTGCAGCGCCACTGTCGCGTCATGCGCGCGCTACTTTTCCAGACTAGATATTGTACGAAAATTAGCAATGGCACGGCTGCCGCGCCTGTGGGTCGCCTCTGCAGCGCTTCTACGAGCGTCTAAATTGAAAGCGCCTTTATGTATAAGTTGTTATAAAAATATTGACAATAATCAATAGCTGTTTTTATATAAATACATGGTGAAGCGAATGTAGCAACAGAATGTATGAGTGTGTGTTTACAGAAACACCAAAATATATGTTTGTGCTCCACCGCCCAATATTTAACTCTGCGGGAAAAATTATTACGGGAAATAACGCAAAGCATGAAGCTACTGCTCTAACAAATGCAAACAAAAATGAACATAGTAATAGTTTCTTGATTTTGATTAGCTGATATCCAAAAAAGGAATAAAACTGTATTAAGTCCATTTTCACACTCATATAGTATTTTTTTATATACAGCTCCTTGGACGGTATGTATATATCCCTAGCGTAATCAAGAGAAAAATAGTCAGTTTTATCTCAATCATATCTAGTACACAAAAGATTTGAGAAAGATCACCACACTGTATAGATGTACCAATGTTCAATCAGCATTAAGGCTAAACAATTTGAAAATAGAAAAATAGGCCTAAATACAACGGATACTATTCAGCAGCCATTAATTTTGAAGCTATGCAAGAATAGGTACAAATAAAATAAAGACAACGATTGACAAATAAACCAATTTGTGAAAAATATTTAATACAACAGTTAATAGACAAAATTAAGATGAGTTTTCATGATCTGAAATAAAGTAAGCTAAATCGAACAATTACATACTCGATAAAAAAGTTAATACTTACCTGATTTGCTCATATCTTGTTTGCAAAGGCAAACCAAATGGTTATAAATTCACTTTACCGCATTAGACTCGTGTTTGAGCCAAATATGTGATAAGCGAGAAAATAAATGTGTTAAATTTTCTATAAAATGTAGATACTCGATTTTCTATCTTACAAAGTACATTATTAAGGTTAATTTTAAGACTTACCGAGATTCAGCTCAGCAGCAAAGCATACGGGGTAGATGACTAGCGCAATTAATATGCACATTACTGGAAACAACAATAAGTTTTGGTTAAGTTTTGTATGTCATCATAGCCAAAAGGTTACTTTGCTGGTCTGCAGAGGTCCCGGGTTCGATGCCGGCCGGGAGAAATATTTGTATGGGCTACATTTATTTTTCTCGTGTGTGTGTAATTTGTGGTTGTCTATGTGTGTGTCCATGGCATCCACGACACAGTGTTTCCCTAGTGCGAGGTTATAAGTGTGTCCGTTATTATGTTATTAGAATAGAGCTCCTTGTGAAAGAGTTCGTCCAGGGCAGTACCTTACCTATTTCTGCCGCCAAGCAGTAATGGTCACATTACTGCGTTCCGGTTTTGAAGAGTTAAGGTGCTGGTGAAATTACAGGCACATGGGACATGTCAACTTGTGCCTCAGGGTGACGAGCCCACGACTTGTTAGTCACTTGGTAGTATATAAAAAAAATACAAGTACGTTGCAACGTGGCTTGTACGTGTGCGCGCCCGCCGCGTACCGTGTACGGACGCACACTTTCGTGCATAATCTCGCTAAGCCCTCACCATTGCACGCGCCATTCATTATATAGAATTGACGCGGTCGCTCGGTGTTTAAAAAATGACACTAAATAGTAAAGGTGTTTATTGATGTGAGTGTAGTTTCTAATTACGTAGACATTTCTATTTCATAACCATATTATTTTCAAGATACCAATATAAAAATATCAATACGTACGTGTGTATTTGCATTTCACAAAGATTATTTTAATATAGCACGAGAATACTGCGATGAAAACCTTACTTTTTCAAATTATGTTATACCTGTAGGTATAACTAAAATAATAATGTAGCAACCCTACGCACCGAACATTACAAATGGGAGTTGCCCTACTTGCTATGGTATTGTTGTAATGAAATATACTCACGAGCAAGCGCCATAGCGAGTACGGCGAAGCGATAGTAGCGAAATTTGGTGCGATGGTCGGCGGCGCGGAGACCTAAGCCTGTCAATAAGGCGCCGCACACATCTGCCGCTAGGGTCGCCACACACAGGCCCGCCGCAGCTCTAAAGAGAAACAGAGAAAAAAATTTGTTTTATTAAATAACTAGTCAAATATATTGTCGTAGGTAAAAAGGTTTACTAACTACTGAAATATATTGGAGAATTGTCTTTATTAATTAGTCATAAGTTTTATCTAAGAACACATAATTAGCTAGTCTACATTACCTAAGCAAACTTAATTTTATAACAAATGTAAAACTTTTTACTTGGACTCCAGTTTTGATAGTATCTTGTAGTGAATGTCGTAAAAACGTTTAACGGGACTTATAATAATAGAGAATATAATGATAACTTACTTAATATAAGTGGTCGGTCTTGCGGCATAGCACCCGGGCTGTGCAACGATGTCGAAGGGCAGCGGCGTAGGCGCATCGGGGTCGATGCAGTGCATGAACAGCCCTTGTCGCCACCCTGCCGCCATCAGCCAGTCCGCAGATGCCAATCCCAACACCATCAGTATCACCACTAACAAACCACATATTAGGGCGATGACCTGCAACCAAATTAATAGCATTTGAAAAAATTAGAAAGTATGACGAGTCACATCTAAACATAATGCGGCACTTACCAAAAATATTTCAAAATGACTGATTTCGTAGATAAGCGTGGTGACACATGGTGGTTTAATAAAATTTCATTTCACAGGTATTCAAAACTCTAATTTGTTTCTATTTGGTACAAAAGGTAATAAACTCAAATCATTTTTATTTCATAGGCAAGCCAATTAGATTCTACTGAGAAGAATGATCAAAAACCATCTTCAGGCACGTTTTTCAATTTCAGTTGGTTAATTAGCCACTAACATTGGATTAGCTAGTTTATATAACTTACTAATAATTTATTGATTCGAAATATTAAGTAATGAAATTAAAAATAAACTGTTATCTTAGTTATAGGTTTATTATAACTGTATAACTTGTCGTACTTTTTCCTATATTTCGGAGAGACTTCACGTTCTGTGCATAGCGCAGTCGGCACTAGGCATCTTTAAGGACAGAATATTTGTCTTTCTTAACTTATACTCTTGCGAGGCTACCACTGATATTTCTGCCCTTAAAGCCGTCAACTGCCGTTTACCAAATAACCTGTGATCAACGAGTGTGAGCTCGCTTTGAAATATCGAGAAGAAATATAATAAGTCAAACTTTGGAAATAAAAGTGGTAACTATTCTTAATTGTTTGTTAAAAGAAATGCCGAAAAAAACGCCGAAAAAACTAAAAAAAAGTCATCGTAAATTCTAAATTTATATTGAATTGATATTCAATTATTTTATATGAAATGACTCCACTAGTTTGTTATAATTATATTAATAATCGACAAAGATCGAACACTCAGAAAAAATTCGTTCGAACCGACGTCTTCTAACATACCGTGGCAGACGCTATACCAATTAAGCCACTTTTTTCTTTTAAACCAGATTTTTTCTATGTGCTTGTTGTCGTATCTTTGTATTTGGTTTTTCAAAGACTTTTTAACCGTAGCGCCATCTATGAGAAATCTACGAAAGTTTTTCGTTACCCAGTTAGATACCTTAACAGCTACCAGCCCCGGCTAGAGATGTCGCTATTCACTGTATTTAAATTTATATTGAATTGATATTCAACTATTTTATGTGAAATTACTCTACTAGTTTGTTATAATTATTCACACAAAGATATTGTAATGACATTGTAATTTCTTTCCACGTATATATAGGGTTATTTGTAAAATACTGACATTTTACGAAACTTAATAAGTATTATATCAAATTACAACTAGTCCAGAAACAGATCAGTGTCCCAACCATGAGTTTACTGTGACGATAATCGCTAGCGATCTCGAAAAAAACATACAATATTGTATGGCGAATTCTGCAGCGGTCACAAGTAAAATTGTGTATACAAATATTTAACATGGACGCCAGCGACAACTGTTTTTATTTTAACGCGCACGCCCTTAATTTGGAAAACCCTGTATCCCGGGTGCCATGAACACACATATAGACAACCACAAATTACAACAAAACTCACGGGAGAAGCCTGAATGTAAATTTGTAATCATTCAAACTTAACTACCGCATTTGCGTTAAGACTTTTATTTAGACATTAAATATATACATATACGCAATTATACATAATTATAAGGTTTAAATTAAAATCTAAACCAAAACGCGATAGTTAAATTTACTTATTTGAACAGAGCAGCATGGCAACCGCTCGGCCACGGAGGCAGTTAAATAATATTAACAAATTAATAGCAGTAGAGCTCCTTGTGAAAGAGTTCGTCCAGGGTAGTACTATTTCTGCCGTCAAGCAGTAATGTCGGCATTACTGTGTTCCGGTTTTGAAGGGTAAGGGTGCTGGTGAAATTACGGGCACATGGGACTTGTCAACTTATGTCTCAGGGTGACGGGCGCAGTGGTAGTGCCCCTCAGATCTTTGCAATTTAAAGCTCTGAGTGGCACTATAACTATTATGGACAGGCGTGTAGCTAACCATCAGGCGCAGAACTTGTTCGTTCAGTTACTTGATTTTATAAAAAAAATCGAAACGAGATCTACAACCCCTATGAACGGTTTTTTTATTACTTATTTACTTTCAGTTTTGTTGTTAAGCAATATCAGGGTAATTGACATTTTAAATTGCAAAAATAACATTAGGTGCCAATATCTCGAAAGTTTCCGAAATGCAAATAATTTAGTTATGACAAGGAGGGCAGAGTAGACGCCGACTTATTAGGAAGATGAAGATAAGAAGAAAGTAATCATCTTAATCCTTATTACCCTAACAAAGTTTATACCTAAATAAAGAAAGCAACAGGTCATCTGTGTACTAAAACAAAGAGTATCTTCTTCCTAAGTAAAGTTTTTTAACTCCATTTTGAAGACATGATAATAACGCAAAGTTGACGATCAGAAGTCTAGAAACACGTTTATGATTCAAGTGGCAATGACGTATTTTCAGGATCACACCCATAATCAGCCTTATTTATAGGCTATCTAAAAATATCTGTATGTACATATAATGTAGATTCAATGCCCGGATGTCCGATGCATCTGCGCAGTACATCTCTCAAGCTGCATTATTGATCGTAAAGTCCAATTTCCGGAAGCGATTCAATTACCAAATTAGGATGCATTGAACGTCACATAAATGTTAAGATTACTGCTAAAATGAATAATATTTTCCTCATGGTCGAATTTGAGTAGCCTGGCATACAAAGGAATCTCAACTTTAATTCATATCATAGAGCGAAAGGTTTCAAGGCGGGTACCTGCATACTGAATATGTTAGGAAAACAGAGGACGAGAATATTTCTTATAAAAAAATATGAAGGATAATAAAAACAACAACGAAAATATACAGAAAAATAGTACATTTTTATGACAAATAATAAACATTGACATCAAAGTGTACGTACAACAAACTTACTTTTGGATTTGGATACGTTATTTCCTGAAGTAAGCATTCCCATACGAGACGGAGACAAATTTTGACATAGTCATTATCATAAACGGGTCGAAAGTTTATCGCCGGCATAACAAGGCGCGCGCGCCGGCTCCGGCGAGAAAAACGCACGGACGACTGTCGCCGAGAGCCAGAAACGCTGGGCGATGTATCCCGAGCGAAGGCTATCAAAGATATGATAGATCGGTCGCCGTGGAATGTCTAGCCGAGATGGGGAGAGAAGTTGCGGAGTGCGGGGGTGCCTTCATCGATCGTGCGCAGCGCCCAGCGCCCGGTGCCCGGTGCTGCGGGGGGACCACCATCAGCTGTTAGCACGATCTTATACCCTCCTCAGACAACATTCAAGGGATGTCTGTTGTATCTCACGTAGAAACCCGACTCACGTCTCACGCTCTGGGGACATGCCATGTTTCAATTTAGCCGACGCACTGGCAACAGCTTATTTAGCTTTCTGTATTCCTTTGTATCAACAACGCAGAAAATATGTATAAATGTTTATTTGGATAGATTATTAGTCGTAAGATAAAGAATTTTCCGCTTAAAGTACAAAAATAGATATAAAATATTAAATACTCGGAATCTCTCACAAGTTAGCAAATTACAATTGAAATTAAAATAGTAACACTGTTACTCGTTCTTGAGGCAAATTCCCATGAGAAGAACGAATAAAAATATCTATAATTAATAAAATCGACAGAATACCATAGGGGTAACTTTTTGTAAAAAATATCATTAGGCAGAAACAGCCTGAAAAAACTAACCGGTTCAATTCCATAAAGCACCTTATGGATCGAGTTTTTGTTTCACAAAAATTTACAACTTCGCAAATGGTCTATATTCAATCAACTGATATCTTATTATAGAAGCGTATCATTGCTCCTTAAATACTTTGTGGAAACGATCGTCAAGGACAGGCAGTTTATTTCTGTTCCTTAGCTCAAAAAAAAAATGCTTTGATAATAATTGATGCCAAGGAATTATATTATAAACGTACAAATAAATAAAGGAACAAATGGGTATTTCCATTTTAAATCAATTGAAGGCGGAAGCATATGTCGTTGAAGGGGATTCATTCATTAAATTTATACAACGCGTTCACGTGTAAGCTTCCGGACGACGCGACGAGGGGGACTGGACAAAACAATATTTGCATTAATGAACACCAATAAGAGACATCTAGGTCAGGTTTAATTAGAAAAATACGTTTGCGGTCATAAACTGAGCATAAACGTGTATAAAAACATACATTATTTACCTCGACGTTTTGAACGTATTGCAACATCCACGGTCTCGAAGGGACTGTAGAGTTTTTCTAACTACTCGCGCTTGGTCTCCATTATTTATTTATGCACTAGGGTTGTCACTAGACGGACACACAACACTCACGATATCTGGTGATTTTTATACACGATTAAGTCCCGAATTAAAATCAAATAACGCGTGAAAATCGTGAAAGTTTAAATCAGTCTATAAACGTACCTCGGCCTGGACTGTCTGTCAGAACTGGCTTTGGGTAACTTTTTCAGGGCAACGTTTTTTTATTTTTATAATATCAAATGACGGAACGAACAAGTCGTACGTCTGATGGTAAGCTACACGCCTGTCCATAACAGTTGCAGTGCCACTGAGAGCTTTAAAGCGCAAAGATCTGTGGGGCACTGCCACTGCGCCCGTCACTAGAGACATAAGTTGACGAGTCCCATGTGCCTGTAATTTCACCAGCACCTTCACCCTTCAAAACCAGAACACAGTAATACAGACATTATTGCTTGGCGGCAAAAATAGGAAAGGTGGCAGTACGTCTCTGGACGAACTCTTTCACACTTTCACAGGGAGCTCGTATCAATCTCGATCTGTCAGTTATATTTCTATATACCATATATAGAAAGGTAGACATACGACGATTGATGGACAACGATCGCTTTTCAAGCCTGAGCAAGATCGTACGACTTACTCTCGTCATGTGCGGCAGTTAAGCATCCGATATATCTTAATTACATTAAGGGCTTTCATCCCGGGAATATCGGTCTCGAAAATTTCTACAGTCTCGACAATTTGTTGGCAGTTTCTCTCTATCGAGACTTTTACAACTTAAGTCATTTAATTAAAAAGTATTAAAAATCCACTAAACCATTAGTTATGTTTTTATTCTGGCTACATGGACGTGGCAACACTGTAGAGTGCAGCTTGTAAAATTCGTGGAGATTGAACAACGGTAGTAACTAAATCAGGTCTTCTCTATTCTCCCTTTCCATATCCCTTTGTTTCTTATGTACTTACTATAAAAATGAAAAAATAATTTTTGCTGCTATAACTTGTGTAAACAAAGAACTTAATTAAAATACCAAGTTTTGACTGCCTAAACGCGTAGTTATAAGTGAATATGTAAATATACTTTTGAAACAGTCTGTGTCGAAAGTGTCGTTTTTCCGGGATCCGATTTTCCATTATCTTTTCCCGGGACGCCAAAATGCAGCGAAATCGAAAGCTGTAAACTACAGATACAACACATACGTATAATAATAATTGATAAGAACTATAATACAAAGTCGTAGAGGTCGATTAAATTTGTAATCCCAAGAGTCATGAAACCAAAAAGAGACTTCAACTGCAAGCGTCTTCGTCAGTCGCAAACGATATGATTATATATACGATATACGATATGTTGCAGTAGACATTCTTAACAGTAATCCTTTAATCTTCCATTCCATCTCCCTTCTTTTTTTCGACAATTTTCCCATATCTTATATCTTTTATTTTTTTGATATCTTTCAGTGTTGCCATTTTGTTTTTTTTATCAACATCCAAATCGAATCGGTAAACTATTTATTTTTTATCTGATAGTTGCAGGTAATAATGATAATAGTGATAGTATTGCATTTAACAAACATAAATGATCTGGATACAGTGATAAGCAACATCTTCTATTTCGACATCAACAAATACACTGAGCATCTGAAGTAGGCTCGACGAGATAACTGCTTGAAGACTACGCGCGTGCAGTGATAGAGACCGTATTATATGCTTTGGGTACGACCGGTATTGATTATAATTCAAATTAGTAGTTAAATTATATGCTGTAGACTGCATCAGTAATAATAGCCTTATTTATTCTCGCTAAAATATTAGAGAATATTACCAGCAGTAGAGCTCCGGGTCAAAGAGTTCGTCCAGAGAAATACGGCCACCTTACCGTAATGTGAGCATTACTCACTGAGGGGTTTATTCCAGAACTCTACTCAATGCTCAAGTCAGGACTTGAGTATTGCAGTGAGCACTGAAAATCATACTCACGTCCTTGCCATTAGAGTCGTATTTCCAGTACTTGAAATCATACTCAAGTCTGCTCAAATCCTGACTTGAGCATTGAGTACAGTTCTGGAATACGACCCTATGAAATTCAAGGCACTTGAGAGTTACCTACACAATTTATGTCTCAGGGTGACGGGTGCAGTGACCGCAGATGAGGTGACAGTGCCCCTTAGATCTTTACGATTTAAAGCTCTGAACGGCAATGCAACTGTTATGGACAAGCGTGTCACTTACCATCAGGCCAGTTGTATGACTTATTCGTCTGGTCACTTGATATGTTAGAAAAAAAAAACAAAAAATATGTAGCGAGGAAAGAAAATTAGATCAACAATTGAAGTGCACTGGCACATTGAAACAAGTCAGTTCGATTTATTGGGATCTACTTAATACGCGTCTGTCAATACCGTTCAGGATATTGGGCATGCAAACTTTTGTCGGCAAATGTTGTTAGCTCTTTATTGACTGATCGTAAAAACTTCAAGCCGTAAAAATGAAAATGTTTTTGTGTAAAATGCTTTGAACCTTATTCAATGCAAAGAATGAAAACATAATTATATAGGTGTAGTAGATAATGGAAGTAATGGACGACCATTACAGGCTCTTTTAGCATAGAAATTAATACTATAGATAAATGCCAACAATACAATATGAATAACTGTTTTCAATGTAGACAATAAATATTTTTACCTCATTGTACAGGGTTAAGTTTGACACTTAAGTTAAAATATAAACACAACTCTCTGGTGTTTGTGATAAGAACGGTACATAGCCTAAAATGATAGGATTCTTTGTTCTCTTGACCGTACAAAAACATTCGTTTAACAAATCAATACAATACCTGGTGCAAAATATAAGAACCTACACGTAAAATGTTCGAGATAATTAAGCCTAATGACGGTCTCACAGTAATAAAATTGAATTCTGAGTCTTCAATGTCGTTTTTCAAGCCATTGATACGCCGGCGCTCCCGGAATTTGTAATGAAACGAGGTTCCAATACGTCTATTCAGTAAAAATCGAAAAGCGTACTAAAACTAGGTTAATTACCGTTGGCTGAATAGACGATGTTCGTTAGTTGAACTTGTGATCTATAGGCAATTGAAATGTTTGTGGAATAATTTGATAAAAAGGCTCGAAATACGTGGCACTATATAAATGAAATGAAAATGAACACTGAACAATGGCTTAATGCCTCTCTTATTTATTCTATTACATCATAGACTTGCACAATTACATTATAGTGGAGATAACGCTTTTTTAACTGGTACGATCTGCACCATGGAATCGGATTGGGGGAGGCTTTAATTTCATGTTTCACCAAAAATACACAGCTGTTACAAAAAGGAATTCATAATTATTTGAGATACGACAGATTCTTTGACACTAAATAATTTTAACCAGAAAATCAGTAGTACACAATACAAATTTGTGTATCATTACATAATTCTTATTATTGCAGGACACAATGCCCGAAATGTAAAGAAATAACTAATTTACATACTTGTTTTCTCTTTTAAATTGTTGAGGGTTGTAAACAATAAAGCATTTTTCTAACAGCCTGTATAGCAGACGCTTCACAATCGCAGGAAATATAACGTCCAGTAGCAGTAGAGCTCCTTGTGAAAGAATTCGTCCAAGTAAGTACCACCTTCTATTTCTGCCGCCAAGCAGTAATGTGAACATTACTAAAAAACCTCTATGTAAAAATTTCAGTTATGGTTCAATTCAAGTAATAATAACCTGAGCAATCTGGTTGGGAGGCATCTCGTCTTCGTCAGTGGCGAACTGCGGCGGCGGCGGCAGAACTGGCGGCGGCTGGGCGCGCGGGTTAGAGCGTTGCCCGCTCGGGCCTGCGCCCGCGCGCCCCTGCATGCGTTGCTACCGCCCCGCCACCACCCCTTGCGACCGTCGCGCCAACGTCACGCTAACACATCACACCTCGCTACACTACTGCTCTAATGTCTCCAGTCCTTACCACAGTTCCAGTTTTATAACTAACTCTACGTACTTATAGCCTGAAACTATCACAATTCCAAGAGTTCACAAAACTTTATCAGTCTTACCTTAACTATCGGGGTTTTAATTGTTATTGAAAATGGAAGAATCTGATAATTATACGCGCTATTCGAAAAATTTACTGATTTACAAAAAAATGTGCTCATCTAATTATGGTTTTGTATGCCTTTTCTTATTAGTGGTTGAAGTATGAACATTAACGACGTATATGAAGCGAATACACCTGGCGAACGCACTGTGCGTTCTTTGTTTCGCATCCGATTTCGAGGTGGACAAGTTAAGTTGATTAACACTTGTGCGCTATTGTTGAAGCTGATCCGCCGCAAAAACTGCGGAGGAGCGCCATGGTTTGTTACAGCTATACCTATGTTATATTGATCCATTTGCGCCAAAAAAGTAATGAAGAAAAATGGATAGCACATAATTGTCCGACCAGGAGGTCTACTCCCGTACTCTTTCTGACATTCGTTAGAAACAATTACAGTGAAATAAGTAATACTTGTCCAAATGAAAAAGACGCATGATGCGAATGAAACTTCATACTTGACGTATTACTTATTTAACAGTAATTGTTTCGGACGGAGAAAGGGGGTTGACCACTTGCAACGGGCATAGCGGTTTAAGCTTACTGTCTTAATGAATCGATAGAGCTGAAAGAGATTCTGACTTGTGCTGAAATTGGATTCTTTAAATAATAATCGTAAACGGTCTACTAAAACCTGGCCACAAGTCCAAACAGTGCCCAAATTTTAAACTACCCACAAAAACTGTTTGGTGGTCGCGGATTAATCCACCGTAGCTTTGTTAGATCTGGTACAATCATTACAACTGATCACTATAGTGAAGAAACGCTGAAAAAATGACTAAAATAATTGACCTTTACAGCTACTTCTACACAATTACAACAAAGGGCAATCTACCGAACAAACCATTGCAGATTGATGCTCTTCGCCGCTCCTATACTCACCTGACAAGCCCCTACCGATTAAATTTTTTTCAGCAAGTTTCAAAAGTATTGACAAGGAGAACAATTTAGTTCTCGTTACGCAGTTGAAAATGACTTTTTGGATTACCGTTCCCCATTATTCTACCCCAATGAAACAAATGGGCTTAAAGTACGAGGGTAGAAGTGTACCCGTAGCATTGATGAAATGAATTTTGATTAAATAAATATTATCTTCAATTTTTTCCGTTAATTCTGCTATATAGATGCGCAATGTCATGCTTATAACGAGTCCATTTCAAAAGTAGGACGCAATAAAAAAAATTTCATAAAACATTTTTCCATTACATTGACCGACCCTAAAACATTTATCCAATAAAATGAAAGTTCACTTCGTTCTTCCCTAACTAGACAATAAAAATTCCACCGCAGACCCCGGTGAGGGTGGCCAAAAGAATCCAATGAATGATGAAGCATAATTCGTCAACGTCAATTGAGTTTTAGACGTAGAAGGAAAACTCGCGTCATTGATAAAATAAACCTGTGATTGAAATGTGATTAATAGTACGAAAAGTTCACGAAGCGAAACCAGCATTTACTCTGTCTAAGTAAAGTGTTCACTACACTGTTGACATCAGAGGTACATGTGGTTGAAAGCCCCGAAGTTGACCCTAATGAGACGTGGCTGATGCTATTATAAATCAATGTCGTGGCTGCGGTTGACCGGCGCTATCGTCATCATGTGAAGATTGCTGAAAGGTTACCCTTCCGCATGATTTGCCCGTAATTTAGGTCAGAAATATTCGTGCGTGCAGGGTTAGCCTGCACGAATAGGGGAGAGCGTCATAAATGAGGTCGCTTACTAAGTTGCCGCTACTGGACGACATAATATAGGAAATAGCACACGCGCACAACAAAAACGTGAGCAATTCGACCAGAACTTTAGCGTGACAAAATTGCTTTATCAATGTCATTATTTTTTATAACTGGAAATGTCCTCCATTTACTGTACGCATGCAACATTTTTGTGTTTTTAAATTGAACACGACATAATTACGAATAAATCAAATATGAACGAAATAAGCCGTACAACCAATGTATAAAAAAATGTTTATGAGAGATATTTCAAAAATTTCCTATTTGAAACAATATATCACATAGCATAACAGTTGCATATACGGATATCCCTACTGCAGAACAAACAAAGTAAAGCTAGCGCAGAGAAAACGCCTGTCTTGTTTGTTTGAAGTTACGGAGAAAACAATCAACTGTGAGCGATGTTTGCTTACTTAACTCGGATGCATATGGCAGAAATGTATAGAAACGATTGCTAGAGAATGCTTGAAATAAACACTTTATATTTATTATCACTTCATTTTATAGCTATTTTAGCTCTTGACCAGTCGAAGGGAAATATGTCTCAAATATACTATTTCGTTTACCATATTTTGGTAACTTTCGAGATATTCGCATCAAATTTGATTATTTCTTTGAAAAATGACAGTTACGCTGAGTTTGTTTAGCAATGCAATTGAAAATAAATAATATATAAAAAAGCCGCTTATCGGAGGGTTTTAAATTTCGTTTCACTGATTCTATGTTAATAACTCTGTTTCGCTGAAAATGTTAATTACGTTACTTATGAATGATCGAGGGCAGCATAACTATCTGCTCTAAGACTAGGGTGTAACTCTGAAATTCCAACAACAACGTTAAATCAATCTTTCACAAAACGCGTCTACTTCCCTTTGGTAACCAAAGTTGAAATTAAGAGAAAAATATATCCACGAAAATTTGTTAAAAGAAATATTGCGCACAGAACCAGACGGCTATATGGAATGGAATGGAAGGACAACTGAAGTTTGGTTTGACAAACGTTCATGTTTGTCAAAGATACCGTCAATCTAGATTTCCATCAAACACATCAAACAAGTACATTATTTGACGAACAATCAAAAACTTTCACAAACTTATTTGACAAATTATTTGATCGTTTACGGAGCGCTTAAGACTTAGGGAGTGTTCTAAGGATATGTGATCAACGTTTAATGTCATACATTATTAAACGTTGTCTTTTTTTAAGTATAACCAGAATTAGGATATTCAAAGATACTGCAGTTAGTTAGACTTATGCCAGCAGCCCGGTAAATTGTCATGTTGTGTTACTTTTACTTACCGTAGGATTTGTCATTTTTTTATTTGTATTCTGAATCCTTTAAGTGCTTAAAGAAAAGATTAGGAACCAATGATCTTATATAAAAAAGGCGGATATGTTACTAGCGTCCACATTGTGAGGATTCTATGTAACATACGTTTTAAGTCATGCTGGTTCTACGCGGCCTGGTAAAGGGTTAAAATGGAAATTTATTATAAGAGGAAAGACATTCTAATTGAAGAATCTGTCTTAGTCACATTATATATTTATAAGCCGTGAGAATGATGCGTCAAGCGCTCTATTGAACTTATAAAGAGACGGAGAAATCCGGACGCGACTGTTCAATTTGAAAGTGAAAGGATTGTTGCTTACGACTTCTGTACATACCGAGCTTACGAGCTTGGTGTTCAATTGTTTGTGTTAGGCCTTTATAAATCATGATTTACAATTGTGTATAAAGGGACACGTAAGGAATGAGTCAACAGAAGATTAGTTATGTGCCCTGCCCCCCCTGACTTTGGAAAGTCACTATAATTCGTGTTAACCTCCTCTTAATGGACATAGTTTGAAACATGCGAAGTTTGTTTTCGATAGAGTCCTCAAGGGATATTCCTTTTAAGAGTCTATACAACCTCAAATGACTTTGGTTGATTCCGCATAACAGTGTAAGTGTTGAATCACTTTGAAAAAAATTATATAATAAAACTGAGGATATACCCTGATCAGTATGTGGTATGAAAACACGATTCCTTACACACAAGACAAAGTTACCTCGAAATTTTACAAGAAAACCACTGTATTTAATAAGTACTTTACATATCCCAATGATTTTTATATGTATATCAACTGAACTAAATAGAACACGTATACTACACAATATACATTTTTTAAATGGCTTTACTTTGGTTTGTAAAAACAGAAATTCTGTAATAAAGCTTCCCTGCCGCTCGACCCAAGCAAAATGAACCGTATTAGTACGGGAAAAATTTGAATTCAAGCTGAGGTAGTATCGACTCTTAATTTTGCGACGAAATCAGTGTAATTTTAATATGTCTTCAGATATTTGCCACTTCACCGAATGTGCATTAGTGTCATGAGTAAGCAAAAATATTTAGAAAAGTGCTAAAATGTTTAGACATCGCTGCGCTAGCCCAATCTATATCTACATCGTTCTGTCCCTGCCATTTGAGGATCATTCATGAACACAGTTATCGAATGAAAGTTACCGAACATCCTATTGTTTACAAAGCAAGAAGTCTGGATTTTGTTCAATTTTATTAATTTATTCTAGTCCAAGACTTATGCATTCCTATATTTTAGGCCTTCAAAGTCTGTGTTCTGAATAACGTTTGTAGCCTTTACCGGTCGAGAAATACGAGTAATCGTACGGGTGTGACGTCATTTCGGTGCAGTTTCGAATACGACAGTTTGACTGTGATTGTGAATAAAAATGAAAAGAAATCGTATGATATCTAATCGCATCAGTCGACAACTGAGTTATCGTAAGGTTCTGAATCGACCCCCTAGCCCTGTACTCTCGTTGTTCGTCCGATATCAGTCCAAAACAATTACTGTCAAATACTCGGCCCAATTATAAGACGCGTGATGCGAATAAAACTTCATATTTGATATTATCTTTTAACTTGGCAGAGTATTACTTATTTGACAGTAATTGTTTCGGACGAATGTCGGACGGAGAACGACAGTATATCCCGGAGAATGAAAGCAGACCCAAGTTGGTTAAGTTGTAAGTAGGGAAGTAAGTAAGGGGCAAGTTGGTTATTATTCTTTATAGTAATTCTTTACATAATATTGAGACATTGAGTTTCATGATAACGCACTTGTCCATATCTCGCGGTTGTAGAAATTACTGTTATGTTCGTTACCACTTTTCTTTTTCAAATAATTATTGACCGAAAGGGAGATCATCTCAACATTTTGTTTCGTCTCGGAAAAAATCTAGTTCAAAGAAATGTAAGTACATTTTTTCCAAGTTGTATATATTGTATCTAATAAAATATTTCAATTAAGATAATCATTATCACACTTTTTCAGTACGTTTACGATTATTTTAGTTTCAATAGTCGTATAAACATGAATTATTCGACTTATTCTACCAATTTTAAAGCAGTTGAAGAGTGTTGACTATCAATTATAAAGCTAAAATATCCCCACATCATAAACTAATTAATAAAGAGGTAATAAACTGGTACTAAAGTAATACATAACTCTCTAGTAACCAGTAAATATAACGCAACCCAATTAACTTTAATTAACTCCTCATAAACAGGCTCACTTTGGGAACGCAGAGCAACACACGTTTATATTACGTAAATATTTTAGATATACGATGAATTAGAAAAACCCCACTGTAATACGTTATTTACTATACTAAAATTACGTGGTGAAATTACAGGCACATGGGACTTGTCAACTTATGTGTCAGGGTGACAGGCACAGCGGCAGTGCCCCTATTAAAAGCTCTGAATGGCACTGCAGCTGTTATGGATAGACGTGTCGCTTACCACCAGGCGCACGGCTCATCACTTGGTATTATAAAAAAAAAATGAAATTCAACGAAATCGAGAATATATTGTCATTTTTATTAATTGGATTGTAACAGAATAACTAACAACATAGATATTTATCCATAAATTAGGTAAAATATGGAAACGTTTTAAGATCAAATAATAATAGATAGACCATATAATCTTTTCCCACTCCTGAGCTCAGGCCTCCTATCACAATTGAAGGGCTTGGCTTGTAGTTCCCACGCGGGCCCTATGGGGAGTTGAAACTTCACACACATCATTAAATTGCTTTGCAGATGTGTGCAGGTTTCCTCACGATGTTTTCCTTCACCGAAAAGTTCATGATAAATTTCAAATAAAATTTCGCCCATATATTCCGAAAAGTCATAGGTGCAAGCCCGGTTTCGAACCCACGACACTCTGCTTGAGGCGATAGGTCAAATCATTAGACCACCACGGCAGAATTTAATTATTGAGAATTTAAAATTTATATTACCGTTAATAGGTTTTAGTTCTTTTTATCCGTCAGTAATCAATAATAAAATGAGATAAATAAATTTCTTACAAAAAATCACCAACCTTGTGTTCAATATTGACGAAGGACACCTAAGTCCAAAAAACTTCTAATTAACTATTCATGATAATAATCGAATGCCGAATAAAGCACCTATTTAACGATAAATTTTACAACGCTCAACAATACTTAAGTAGCCGTTATTGTAGATTCCACAATAGTTAACACTCATTTATGACTCGCAGTTATATATAGAATTGTCATAGTATGGGAATACCTGAAAGAAATACTAACATTTTTGAAACCAACAACTATTACAATCGATTCTACAGAAAAAAAAATTCAGAGAAAATGTGAGCATAACAACTGGACATTCCTAGAAATTGCTTATCGTAATTGAATTGATGGCGAAGGTAGCAGCATTAGGTATAGCAAATATTTTAGATATAACTGGTCGTTCGGGCGCACAAGAGTAACAACTATCTACTGCGTCTTCGAATAGGCATACAAAACAATTTTTTTCGCCCTAATTCTCTGTTTCATTCGAGAGATTTGCGCAGTGGGTCGCGCCGGTCTTGTGAATCACACAAAAAAATCACCTTCAACGTTCTTTTCATACACTGAGTTTTGAATATTCAGTGACGATTATTTTGAATATACACAGACGCGTCAGTTTTTTTGTTGTGCCAACGAAAATGCAGGGATTTCTGGAAAAGTCGTGAGGGAACAATTGAAGGGCGGGCCTCGATGCCAGGGCGGGCGGACCGGGCGGCGCGACGCCTGACGCGGGACTGCCGCCCGCCCTGCGCCCCGACACCCCCTCATCTCCACCCTCTCTCGCGCCAACAAAACACAGATTACGGAGACACATTTATTAGCCAAAATGCTACTTAAACTTCGATGGTTCTACAACACAAACATGAACATTGTTTAGCGTTCTAATTATTAACGTCACTTTATTATAACGGCATGTATAACTTAGTAACTTAAATTAGATAACAATAATTCCTCCGAACTAAAGTAAAGCTTCACTGAACACTACAATTAAAATAGCGTAGCGAATGTTTAACCTTTTATATGTATTACATTACATTACAGTCCTCTAGTTTATCTTCGCATCGTTCACACCTGGGTTATCTGCAACCCTGCCGGATGCGGCTCCCTCCGTGGTGGTCGCCTGGACTTGGACGTGCAGCAGTTGCCTATGCTGCGGAGTCGTCTCGAGCAGGATTCTTTGGACGGTAGCTTACACCATTGCCTCGATTCCCGCGCACCAAACGTAGTCGTCATTCTATCCCCTGGTTTCGATATATCATATGATATCTTAGGACTGTCTACTGCCTCTGTACCAGGAGCGATACGATATTTCGCTCCCGATATTGCCTTTTTTATCCTGCTTAGAGCTCTCTGTGCTCGGTTTTCTTCTTCCCTTGAGTCTATTGCGGTTTCTCTGGGTATTGCCGTTAGTCGACCCGGTGGTGGGATACCAATGGGAACATCGTCGTCTTTCTTGAACAAGTGCCTTAGCCTGGATATGATGGTTAAAGGCGGATCAGTGTTGGTACCAATAGTGCATACTCGTGGTCTGTGGTACTCGCGCTCCGATCTGTAAAGCTCGTGCTCCGATCTGTGGTACTCACTGTCCGGTCGGTGGTAATTAGGATCCGGTCTATAGTACTCGCGTTCCACATATTCTCTCTCCACAGGCACAGTAGTCGAAACGTAGGTTTTAGGCGGAAGAGTTGCTGCGCGTCTTGTATATTGTCCATCTTGATCGTAAGCTACATGGAGAGTGCTGATGCTAATAGGTTGGTGCGGTGGCGGCCAGAGTTCTCTCGTAGGCGGTACAGGCGATGGTCGTTCTCCCAACATCCTTCGAGCAAGTTCACCAGGCTGCCAGAGGTAGTTAGCAGTTAAATTCCCGTGCGTTTGCATCACGGCGCGAATCTTCACTAACGCTCTACTACCACCGCTAATCCAATACTGGGCTTCACGCACTTGAAGGTTTTCAGCAAAAATATGCGCATGCAGGCTGTTTTTAAATTGGATCAGTGGTTGTAAATACTAAATAAACCTCTTCTATACTATTAGTTAATCTTTTTTAAAGGTAAGGTTAAAAGGATCGTACGCGTCTTTATCGTCGTAGTGTGTCAAGAACTGTTTAATAACAAACAAGTGTCTTCCTAGAGTCTGATAAGGAGCTCATTATCATAAATATTGTATATCTCCTGTTTCACGCCTTATGTTCAAACACTTAAGAAAATTGCGTCATTAACTGTCTATAATTTATTATTAAGCAACAATGACTCAACTATTGTATTGGTGCTCAATAAGAGTAAAAAGTATATATACGTATTATAAAGTGTTCTATATATTGCAATGGCGAATTAACATTGCTGTTCTTAATAGACATTGAACGCACATTTTTACTGCGTATCTTCTACGTTGACTTATCTTCTTCAAATACGCACCCTCTGCCGCTTATATATTGTATTATACTTTTATTCTGAATTTATTGTTTTGATAGTTCAAATACTTTCTTTCCCTAGATTACGTAAATTTAGTACTACGTTACTTTCAGGACAACGAGAATAAACGAAATATAACAGCAGTAATACGCTTACACGCCACATTATTATGTATTTTGTCAATACCTAAATTCACTAAAGTCTGTCATGATCAGTGTGACTTGTCTAATGACTGCGAACTGAACGACGATTACTTCACGCTTTGTAGATTGCTAACTATAAAACGACAGTTACTGTATTGTATAGTAAGGTTTTGACCTTGTGGTGACTACTCATGTGGCACTGTTAGCCACAATGCATTGAAATGCATGACAAGATTATGTATGGCTTTGTATACGTGTATGTGCACCTGCCCCCGTAGCATGGCCACGCATGGTAGTCGCGACACGCGCGCGATAATATTAAATAAGCGCGCGCTATTGGCAGTCTCAATCAGATCTAATTTAGATAGCCAATAGCGCGTGTTTATTTTAGTTTTACCGCACGCGTCGCGAATATATGTGCAGCCATGCTACAGTGTCTGCACTAGGTAATCTCAATTCAAAATATCTTAATTGCATATTTAATCACATTACACTTAAAAAACACTAAAAGCTGCCTTTGACTTTGAAAGCTTTATGCTTGACCCGTTCATGGACAGTATCGTGTACCAAAAAATTAAATATCAATTTTTTTTTAATATCAAGTGAGGGGACGACCAAGTCGTGCGCCTGATGGTCAGCTACACGTCTGTCCATAACAATTGTAGTGCCACTCCGAGCTTTAAATCGCAAAGATCTGAGGATCACTGCCATTGTGCCCGCCACGTTTAAAAGTGCTTTCCATGTAGTTGCCGCCTACTGCTTCTCCATAGAGAAGTGTCAACAACATACTGACAAAACTCAAAATTATTAATGAATCAATATAAGCACTACAGCACAAAGACAAGTGTGATGTTTTTGTGTATGGCACTATTTCAATACTATACTATATAATGAATGGGTTAAGAAAGAATGGATAACTTGTAATTTTACTAAATGTTTTCAGAATCTGTCATTTACAGAAAAAAGGGAATATAGTTATTTACATGAGTTGACATAGAATTATGTGTTCTATGTTTATATGTAAATAATACATTTTCGTCGAAAATATATGTAACACCCATTACAGCTGTAAGAAATACATAGATATAGATATAAATACAAAGATAAAAAATAAGGTAAAATAAAGTTAATAAATTAAATGCAAACCAAAATCCTTTATCATTCCTATGATCATGTGTACATTATAATGAAAATATCGCATTTAATTAAATGCGACATTTTCATTATATATGTAGATATAATAAATAAATAAATAATAAATAAGGTATCCAGAAAAATATTTCCCTCAAACAAAACTGAGAGCATACTTTCTTGGGCATTTAGTACTTTTGTCATTGTACTTCATTAGGGTTAAATATTTGATGTTTGTAAACTAATAAACTGTATGATTTACTTTACTTTGTATAAAATAATTATATTTATAATTGTAATTTATAACAGCAAATTTATTTCCCAATACTCAGATAATTTACTTTCTTTTAAAGTTTTCAGTTTTAGCTACACTGTTAACAACAAAATTCAGATTTTTCTTAAGAGTACAGACAAGTTCCAATTATTTATTATTTGATGTATATCTATTGTAGTTACTTGGAATATCCTAATGAACTCATAAGTTTATAAGGTATCATTATACAACAATATAACTATAACAACAGTGCTTCAAGGGTTCATAGATGATATAGTACATTGTTTTCTCGTGTCATGCTGGTGTTGCTGCTGCTGGGTAAGGTGAGTTATGGCTTATAAATATCTAGCCATCTCAACCATTGTGGAGAGATGGAGATAAGTTCAAGAAGACCAGGAACATTACAACAAAGATAAGAAAACTTTATAAGATAACAATTATGCCGCCATTCGTTGAATGGGCACATGTGACAATGCCAATCTGTCATTATTTTCCTAGGTGCATAAGGTATAAAGTTACCACAAGAGAAAAGTAGATTTTTTAAGTTTTATTTCTTTACACATTATTTTCTCGGTTTTGAGTTTTTGTCACAAACACCCTTTTGAGTTTTTGTCACAAACACCCGTGCTCTGGTTTTGAATGGCAAGGATGATGGAAATTACACCCTTATATGGACCTTATCATATGGTGATGCAGTGGCAGAGCCCTTCAGGTCTTTGTCATTTGAAGCTCTGAGTGGCACTGCAACTGTTATGATGTGGTAAAAGGAAGGAATGGTGTGTTTCACCAGAGATCCATTCTGCCCTCCTTGTCATAACAAATGCATTTGCATTTTGGAAACATCCGAGATTTTGGCACCTATTGGCACCTACCCTATGTCAATTATGCTAATTTTGCTTAACAATAAAATTGAAAGTAAATAACATACAAAAAACACCAATTACAGGGAGCTGTAGATCTCACTTTGCTGACTCCAGATATGTTAATAACTAACCCGACTTCACTAAAAATGTTGGTTATGATGTGGGCAAAAACCAAATAAGGGGACACTGACCTTAAGTGGGCGTGTAATGGTGACAGTCTCAATCATTGTAGTTGATGCCATATTTTCAGTTCATATACCTGGAACAAGATTTTTTAAATATTATTTTATTACTTGGTTACACATTGTAAGCATAATGCATCTATTAGCGAAAGGAGGTTCAATTTGCCACATACTAGCCAGTGTAATTGTATGTTTTCTTTGTAGAGGGCATTTCAAATGTAGTCAAAAATTCTGTAGAATGTAATTTGACATTATATATTATTAGTATATTATTTCTCACGTTTTTTCTATGACTATTTTATAAATAAAGATCTTTATCAAAATATAAAATCAGTTCTTTATTTTATTGATGGAGCCATAGGAACTCCATCAGTATCAACCCATATATTGCGTTTGTGTACTCTGTAACTAAACTCAGACCACCAAAGGAAACAAATTCTTTAAAAAATAAAACAAAGTGTCTTAAATTGATCCGGAAATCGAACCCGGGATTTCTCAAGTATAACCAATTAAGCAGCGGTAAGTCGTCGCAGATGTCGTCAGTATAAACAATGGCAAATTAACACAAAGTTCTGATTCATACTGGGAGATCCGTAACTACACACAATCTGTTTATCGACAACTATGCGCCTAAATGACGAATGCATGACGAATAAGGTCAAGTTTATTAATAACAACCCGATATAGGCCAATTACTTACACAATCGAATACAAAAGCCATAACTTATACTTACGCGTAAACTATACAAAATATAAACAGACTTGTTTAAAACTGTAATTTACGCTTCTTTGGATAACAGCACTAAAGTTTTTTTATAAAACAAATCACTAAATTTCATTCCATACGGTTGGAGTTATCAAGACCACAAGTCAAAACCGAAGAAAGATTCAGCATCCAGCATCCAAGAATTAATTATTAAACATGTAAGATTCTATTGAAATCACTTTTCGTTTTATCTAAGAGTCTTTTATTATCGATTCACCAAACACAAAAAAAAAATTACGCGTAAACAAACGTAAAATAATTAACTGCACACAACTACAACAACGACGCTCATTTCCCAAAATGAAATTCAATTCAATGATTTTGAATGAAGTTGAAAACAATTAAAATGACATTTCTAGTCTGTGAGAACGTGTATCCGGACGTTTCCGAAACAATAATTAGGGTTGCCAGCTCAGTTATTAAATGAAACGATTATGATTGCTAGTTTTTTCTTCCGTGATTGCAATGCAAGTTGTAAATAAACATCTCGTTGGTATGTACCCATTTCTTTTAGACCGAGAGATCTATAATTTAATTACAATTAAATACATTCCTAAATACAGTATTTTATTATAGAATTATCACGAATGTTATATATATAAAAATAAATAAATAAACACAGAATAAAGCAAAAAGCAAGTAAAATATTTTCTTCCTTTTTCGATTGTTCTCTAAAATGGAAACACTCTATTGATTTTTGGTTTGAATAATTGATGACGTCCAGAAAACAATACCACTTTATAATCATTGAACAGATTTCGTAATATACCTAACAATATTCTTTAATTTTTTACTTTATTTCTGGCAATGTTAATATAATTACTGAGCATCGATATAATTGAAAATAATTTAAAATTGAAAATAATTACCTTATAACTTCGATGGAGGATAGATTTGTGTTAAACAGTGCAGAAAGAATTAAAATTAATTGGTCACATTATCTGTCAACGCTTGCTGCCCCTCCCACTTACCCTGTCGCCGCCGCTTTCTCGCTTTTTTGATGCCGGTAGGATTTCGGCGTCAATACTGTTTTCGTTGGCGCGAAAGATATTAAAGTTAACATAAAAGTGTTGTTTCGCCATGGCTGATATAAGATCATTGGCCGTGAGAGGCATTAGAAGTTTTGGACCAGACGAGAACGATGAACAACGTATTACATTTGAGAAACCCCTAACCTTAATTTTAGGGCAAAATGGTTGTGGCAAAACGACAATCATTGAATGTATACGGTACGCAATTACAGGGCAGATGCCCCCTGGAAGCCGTAATGAGTGTTTTGTGCACGATGCAAAGGTGAACAGATCTACTGAAGTGTTGGGGCAAGTGAAACTCAAGGTAAATTTCATACATTTGTCGCAGTTATTTTGCGACCTCATGCCTTTGTACATACACATAACATATTGTATATTGCAGTTGAAAAATGCCAAAGACAAGCAACTGGAGGTGTCGAGGTCTATGAAAGTGACCTGCCTCAAGCAGAAAACCCGGTTCCAGACTTTAGATTCGTTTCTGTCAGTGATTGATGAGACTGGGAAAACAAAAGATATATCTTCGAGATGCGCTGATTTGGACTTTGTATTGCATGAGGAGCTTGGTATGTACCTATTTTATTTAATTATGGAAACAAGCACGAATATAATTTCGATGTTACTGCATCATTTACTATTTATTATACAGGCTGTATATTTGAAAGTGAGACATATTCATACATGTCATAGTAAATCATGATACAACTTAACATAAACTAAAATAAAATTAGGATATGGGATAGAACAAAAAATAAATCAACAAATGTGTTTTGAAGTGTACATAGGAATAAACCGATTCCCTTTATGCTTGATTTTGAGTGCAATGGGAATACTACCGAGTGAGACAGCAACAATAACAATGATTTCACATGTATGTTTTAGCTTATGTGAATTATTTTTTACTTCACTATCATTGAAATGTTTTACATACTAAAAAAGATAAGTTTATGATTCAGTAACTAGTTATCATTTAATAAGAATTGATGTTTTTGGCGTAGTTAAAAATGTGAAATCAAATTATTTACTTATTTTTTAGTTATTTACAATTTATTTACGTCGCTACCCGCCGCTGCGTCGAAGCAATAATAGTGATGTACATAGTTTTCGATAACTAATGTTGTTCTCAAGTAGTAGTCGATAAAAAAAAACTTAAAAAATATTTTTTGTAAAGTTTAAGTTCATTAGTTTATTATTTCTTTGAGTTCAGAATCAATAATTCAGAATATAACGCACTCTATAAGTATGTCCAATTTTCAAATATCCAGCCTGTATATGAAATGTAAAGAAATAAAATTATGTATTTTATTGTTATGTAATTTAATGTAATAATATACAGATAAACGGACACCATAATTTAAACCAAGTATTTCTTGACAAAAAAAATCTAGAGGTATTAACTGCCTCCATGGTCGAATGGTTACCAAGCTGTTTTGCCACGCAGTGGTCGCAAGTTCTATTCCTGGCCTGCGAGAAATATTTGTATGGCCTACATATATTTCTCTTGTGAGTTTGGATGGGTGTAGTTTGTGGTGGTCTATGGCACCTGCGACACAGGGTTTCCTTCTTTCCACAGGGCTATGAGTGAGTGTGTTAAAAAAAATCAAAATACAAATACAGTTACTTTATTAGAAGTGTAGGTTTGTGGTATAATTATTATTGGTATGTTTTTCTTCATGAGTTTGGTTGTAATTTGTTGTTGTCCATATGTTACCCTAGCAAGAGGCTATAAGTGTGTGCATTATTTATTTATTTTTATTATTTAGTATATTGAGTTCTTAGGTTTTTGCAATTGCTACACATTGGAAATTAAACTAATTTTTATGATCTAAATCGTAAATATTATGTCATGCAATCAGTTAGTCAGCAGTGACCATGGGACCTGTAATGAACCCGAAATATTGGTTGTTTGAAAAAATAAATATATGAGATTAAGTTCCAGTAAAATAGTCTCACTTCCAATAGGAAAAGTATGATATGTATCTAATCACTGTTCTATTTATTTATTTATTATTTAGATTCAAGACTAGAGATCTAACGGATATCCGGTATCTGGCCTAATTTTATTGGATATAGCCCTATTTTCCGGATTCCGGCCGGATACCGGAAAAGAGGGCAATATCCGGCCAGATACCGAATATTTAAAACTGAGAAAAATTCGCAATTGGTACGCGAAATTATTTGATTTATTGTTTAAAAAGGGTAGTAATAGGATAAATAAATAGCTGCTACACAATGGTTTACAAATCTGTTCATTACTTGTAACTGTAAAGAACCATGTAGGTAGGTAACGTAATCTGTAAATTTAGTACTCAAATTTCAAGAAAGGCAAATAATTGTGGATGTAGACCAGTATTTCCGCAATAAGTGGTAAAACTCTGTTCCGTTTATTTTCATAGACAAGACCAGCTACAGAGGACAGTTTTTTGCTAAAGTCTGCAAACTTTGTTAAATTTAGGTACTGCTTGATAATACCAGACCACCAAATTAAAGGATCGCGATCATGATCGATTCGAACTGTCTTCAATTAATAATTGATTTAAAATAATTATATTTTCGTATGAACAGTGTGTAACGAGAATAATAGAATGTATTTATTAATGAAACTGTAAAGTAAATGAGAAAATGTAAGTAGATTTAGAAAACAAATTCTGGCAAAAACTGATATTAAGTTTTAGAATAATTAGATCACATGAAACTGAACGAAAGAGTAACGGGCGTATCAAGTGCTAGGTTTATACTTATAAAATATCTCCTAGACATTTTAATATACATATACATAGAATGATGTAACTGTTTTTAGTTCTTCTCCATCACAAGAAATTTGCATTCAGTACAACAAACAAACAGCACTAATATTATAATATTGCTAAATTGGCTATTTTTTTCACTGTTGACATTTTTCTACTGTGTATTTGTTTGTATTATTCAATAAAATTATCATTTTAATAAAACCCAAGTGAAGACAACAAATCAAATTGTCAATGTGAAAGTGCAATCATCAATCAATCAATCACGGCGATGCGCGCTGTAAACTGGTCGCGACATGGTTGTGAATGTGGGTCCGATATCCGGCGGTTGCTCGCCGAATATCCGGCTAAATCCCTATCCGTTTCATCTCTATTCAAGACCCTCTGAGACCAGAGAGAGAGAGACAAGTGCCCAGCTGTGGGACCTATATCATTTGATATATTGCATACACACAGTACCCTTTAAATGTAAGTTACTATTTATTTTGCAGGTGTATCTAAAGCAATCTTGAACTCTGTAATATTCTGCCACCAAGAGGACTCAAGCTGGCCTCTGGATGAGGGCAAGAAGGTAAAGGAGAGGTTTGATGAGATCTTTGATGCTGACAAATACAGTGACTGCTTTGACAGGCTCCGTAAACTGAGGAAGGATTATACTCAAAATCTCAAGATGCTGGGTAAGTTTTAAATGTTTTTTAAGTTATTATTGGGGTGTCGTCATTACTAGTACTTACAATATAGGGACAAAATCTACAGTAATAAATAAATAAATGAATGATCCTCATGCTATGTTGAATTCTTGCTAAAATTTAAAAGAACCTCTCCATAATGACATTGCTCCTACAACATCTGGCACCTGAACAACAATCGGTGAGTACCTTTACGCCAATCGGCAAATCTGTAAACCACAATGTCAATGTAGTGTACCCCAACACTCCCCTCGTAACGAAAAAAGTCACAACTATGCGTACTTATAAAGTACGCATATAACGATACCGCCAATGAACACTACGCCAATTTTATTGTTTGGTCATTTTCTGTTATTTTTGTAAACAACCATATTATTTACTAATATTATGCTCCCCGAATTTTGTGAAAAAAAATGAAAAAACAAAAACAAAATTCGAAACAAAAGGAAACAAAAAAAACTAATTTTGTGACAAAAAATAAAGAAACAGAAAACAAAATAAAAACAGAATAGGTTAAAAAATTAAGTTCGCGTAGTGTTCCTTGGAGGTATCGATAAGGCAGTTGTGCGTTTTTTCGTTCTGAGCGCAGAATAAAATGAAGAAGCTGAAATATAGAAAGCAAACTGTTCTTTGGAACTTGACTATGAGAATTTGCTAGATGCCTGATGGAACCAATACTCATGCATGCAGAAATTTTTCTAAACCATAAAGTTTGTCTGTTGGCAAATCATCCACATTTATTAATGTGTAATTTGCCATTTTCGCAGAACTAGAAGCAGCCCATTTAAAAGAGAAGAAGCAAGATCTCGATAAAAAGAAATCGGATACAGTGGATACAGAGTCGAGAATATCCGAGAATGAGCTGAAAGTTGCAGAGCTTACTAAAGAACTGAAGCCAGTCACTGAGAAAATTGCAGCTGTAGAGACATTACAGAGAAATTTGGTCCAATGGGAGACTAAGAGAGACAAGATTAAGACCAAGTGAGTATCGTGATATTTTATATGATATTTCTATGATACATGAATATTTTATGAGAAGAAAAACGTTAAATGTTTCCCAAGAATCTTATGCTTATGTGTACAGGGTAATTTTATTTTCCTTTGTCTATTTATAAATAAAAACAATACTCTATATAATTATGTTTAAGTGTATTTATTGGTTTTAATATTTAATCTACCTTGTATCATTTCAGGTTAGAGCATAACAAACAACTTGAAGAGGATTTGAAAAAAAATATCAAAACTTTATTTGAAGGCACTACAGAGGAATTACAAGCAGCAATCAGTTAGTATTTAGCTATAAATCCAGACAACTGGCTACTAGGGCCGTTATTCAACTTAAGAATTCTACATTTTTTCATATAATTAACAATGAAAATGTGTCTTAAAAACCTCCAAAAAATGTACAGACACAATAATAACAACAAAACAAGCTATAACGTCAAATGTAATGCTACTTTTAAACGCAATCTGGACATTTATGTTTGGATAATAAAATGACGATATTTTATTAGTTGTTAACAATTTGGGAAAGTGCATACCTCCTTGAGCTGATTTACAGGCTAATACTGTTTCTATAGACCAAGAAAATTTTGTGGATATAAATGCAAAACGGTTTATAAAACCTCACATCTGTGAAGAACCTTAATCCACATTGGGCCAGTGTATTTTATTGTGGTCTAAAAGTCTAGGAGAGACCTGTTGTGGACTATATAATATAGATTGTGGAACTATCGGACATTTGAATGCATTTCTCTTCTCAGCTTTGGTGACAAAATCTTTCAGTTTCTAATTTGTTTTTAGACAACTATGAATCAACCAGCAAAGGCAAACAGAAAGAGCTCAGCGAATCTTATAAAAAGATCACGTCATTCAATAAAGAAGAAGAAAAGATTGCCAATGAGAAAACTTCAAATGAGATGAAGTACAACAAACTGATATTCCTCGAGAGTCAGAATCAGGAGAGAATTGATAAAAGGAATAAGTGTATACTGGAGACTGCTAAGATGGCTGGTAAGTCACTTATACTTAATGCTTAGTTTATTCTTCCAGATGCTCCACATTGATACAAATTGTTTACATGATGGTTGCTAAATATAATAAATTATATAAAATCAAGTGTGAAGTGCCTAAAATAAGTTCACGTCACTTTATTTATATGAACTGGCATCTATCAGGAAAATTCATATATCCATTTTTGTTTTTGTAATGTAGAAGTCGAAACACCAGAAACTATAGAAACAAATGAGGACGCTGAAAAAGGAATCGCAGACTTGACTGAGAAAGTGCAGAGCCTTCGGCAAGACCTGCAGGCGCAAAAAAAAGCTGCTGATGCAGAAGAGAAAAACTACCAGAAAAGGGTTGATATTAGTCGGATAGCACTGGTGAGTTAATTAATATTTGAAGGATGTTTATGATTTACATATGGCAAAGGGTCCCATATTGTACAATTCCCATCACCTTACCTAAGAAATTAATTCTCTAGCTTAGTAGGTTTTTATTAATATTTAATATATTTAATGCATTGACTTACAAATAAATGGACGACGGGTCTAATACAAAAACCACGAAAAAAATGTCCCAAGTCAACCTATTCGAAATTTAAATTGTTATGTCATCGCAGTATCGCGCTGTCCGTAGAACAAATGAAGACTAAAGCGGAGTGTCGCGCTCTGTATACGATTTTAGCGCCTTACAAGTGCGGACACTTTTTAGCGCGGACCCGACGTCCATATAATTGTAAGTCAATGATTTAATGCCTTACATTGCAGCATACCGTGTATATCAGTTTACCTTTGTCGCATACAATGTCAAATACGAAGCTTTATTCGCATCATCAATCATCACAAATCAATGTGTCTTTTACTTTGGTCGAATTACCTATTTGACAGTAATTGTTTTGGATAAAAACGGGAAACGGTTGGGAACCACTGCCCTGTAGATGCAGCAACATCTCCCTACGATTTAGTGAACACAAATAAAGACGGATTTAAGTAATCTTTAAACTACTTACAGTCGCGGCATAAAGAAAAAATCTCAAATAAAGAAATGGAAATCGCAACGGCGCGCAAAGATATCAACAAGCTCGAGAAACAGATCACTGATGCTAACGAGGCCAAGACGCGACTTGACATACTCGAAACGAGGCTCAAGGCAGCTGAACAGTGAGTACAATGCTACCAGTTCGATGGTCATACAAATAATTATGTCACAAACCTGAAAAGTAACTGTATTCGTATTTTGATAATTTTTTTTGAACGCACTCACTCATCGTCTCGCGGAAAGAATGAAACCCTGTGTGGCAGGTGCCATGGACACATACATAGACAACCACAAATTGCACCCACCCAAGCTCGCGAGATAAATAAATTCTCCCGGCCCGGGAATCGAACCCGAGACCTCTGCGTGACAGACCAGCATGGTAAAACCGTTCGGCCACGGAGGCAGTTACAGTTGTATAAGCCATATAATGCCAGAATAATTCCCTAGTCTTAATATTCCCTGTACTATGACTACTACAGAATTAAAAATTATCTCTCTTCTCATCGTTATGGATACTACCCAGAACACTCACAATCACATTAACCACCCATTTGAGAATTGTTCTTACTAAATTGCTCCTACCGAGAGTCCAAAAGCGTCCAAAGTGCTAACTGCTAGTCCAACGAGTGCGTCAAACTCATAAAAAAACTAAAATCAAATACATACAAGTTTATTTTATTAATTTCTATCAGTGGTTACTGCGTGACACAGTGAATGCGTCCGTTTAATGCCAAAAGCAGAACCGCTTTTAAGTTTTCGTTTTATTTTTTATGGGAAAATCTAGAATTCTCAGTTTTATGGGTAATCCCAAAACACCCTAAACCAGAACTAATTTAACAAATGTCTCAGAATTAATCCTACTGACAATTTTATTGAACTCCTCCTCACCATATTATTGAAACACTGCCAACTTGACAGAGAATATGTGCAAGCCGAGAGCGAATTAAACAGAGACGAGTGTCAGCAAGAGATCAATGATGATGAGAAAGCATTGGAGCAGAACGAACAGGAGCGCGAAGAGATTTCTGAAAAGGTAATTAAACAAAATCAATCAATCATTCTGATTTTTTTAGAGCATGATGTTACACAATACAATTTTCATTTCTTTTTATTTGTATTGTATAAGCCACATAATTTGTAACTTGTATAGCTCTTAGCTGTGACTTGTTTTATCTACTTAAGTCTTATTACAGGCTTAAAAATAGATTTTAAGACTAAATTTTCGTTGTTATTGTCAATATTTTGTAGATTTTTACTAGCTAACATTTGTTTATTAGTATAAATATTTTTACTCGCAATCCTTGTGACGATTTTTATTTATTTTTAAGTAGATCCTACATTGGAGATTGCACTAAAGACCTTGAATTAAATTTCTTATCTGTTGCATCTTTTTCTTTAGTTATAATTTTAGTTTTATTTGATAATTTCAATTAGTTTTTTAAATGAAGTAACTAAAAAAATATAAAAGCATGTACACTGTGTCGTTTTAAAATATATTTAAGAGAAATCGCTCAGTAAGTGTACTAAATTATTACTATTCGTTTTTGGGCGTTTATTTTGCGTACACTTGACATGACGTGTGAAAAGGATAAAACACATCAGCAAAGGTGAAGGACCTTGTCTTCAACATTCAATTCTTAGTACAAACTCCAGTGTAGTATAGTCCCAAAGTTTATTGGGAGCTCCTTGTCTAACGCTCTCATGTTCAGTAGGTACCAAGAAGAACGATTATTCTGAAATTGAGGCGCTCTACTTCAAACAACCATAAACCCAACAATAAACACATCTAACACTTGATGTAATTTTTTAAACACCGAACGAATGCTTCAATTCTGTAACGAAAGGTTCGTGAGACGAACCGCGCTAATGCACTCTTACAAAATACGATTGTGTGCGTCCTTACACGGCGCGCGATGGCGTGCACACATATAAGTCACGCAGCTACGTTTTATATGTAGTTGCCATACATGTTCTTATTCTGCTATGGTACAACTCTATTTTCATTTCTGTATGTGGACCATTGTTTGAGCTGCCCGTAAATTTACAACCTGTAATGGCTGTAATCTCTATTATTTGCTTCTATAAATAAATAAATGTAAAAAACTGAATGAATTAAAAATGCATGATTCCCAGTGAAAAATAACACTACGCATACTTCAGACAACTAGAGGCAGAATTTTTTATTAATGTCATAAGTACAATTGTCACATCATTGATCTGAATATGTTACATTCTTTGTGAAATACCAACAGATATCCAAACTCCAAAAACAAGCAGCAGAGTTGAAAAAACGGGACCTCATTGAAGACCAACTAAAAGAGAAAAAGAAGCAACATGCTGTCCTTCTAAACAAGCATAGTGAAGCATTAGCTGATTTATTCGGTACAGTGCCAGAGAGCGATTTTGCTGTTAAGGTCAATAAGTTTGAGATCAAGGTTCGGGGCGAGGTTGACGCTATTAAGAAGAAATTGAAGACTCACGACAAAGAGGTAAGTTAATTTGAAATTTACCATCAGCTTTTCGGTGAAGGAAAACATCGTGATGAAACCTGCACGACGAAGAAGTTTCATAACACTCGGAAAACGTGTGAAGTCCCCAACGCGCATTAGGCCAGCGTGGCGGACTATGACCTAAACCCCCGCCTCAGAGGAGACCCGTGCCCAGCATTGGGACGTATAAATGGGTTAATGATGGTGAACGTGGTTAGGTATATTGCATTTTAAAAGTATATCTAATCGTAATACGATCGACTGTGTCATTTGTAGTAAATGTTTTCTTGTCAGTTTCAACTAGCGTATAAGACGCGGCTGAAGTGCGCGTACACAGTTTCGCTTGATAATTACAAGTTTACATACGATTATTTATGTCAAATCGATTAGTGATGAAACAGGCTTCTGCCTCTGCGACTTTATAATGGAGCTTAAATCGAAAGTTTACATGCGCCACTAACGTGTCGCGCGCGCTGATCACTAGCGCGCGTTTTTAGCAGTTTTATATTGAGTTATGAAACCAAAAAACCGACCTCAAAAGTTTGTGTAATTACATCTATTTGCCAACTTTTATTGCAATCGGTCGCCAGAAAGTACGTGAAACCAGATTCATCCCCTAGTTTGCCACCCTTAGATATCACCCTTAAAGGTGGAATATTTTCTTCAAATTTAAATGAGACCACTGCCGAGGTTTCCTCTTTCCGATAAAAAAAACCAAATCGGTTCACAAGTTATCGCGTAACATACATAAAAAAATATACAGTCGAATTGAAAACTTCGTTCTTTTTTGAAGTTTTATTTGAAACTATTTGGTTGAGATCTTTATAGTATTTACAATTCCGCCACCGCATCCACTTCCGTTGCTGTTCTATGTATGTGTAATTGTATTGGTAATTTTATATCACAGCTAACAAAGCTGGAAACAGAGCGCAAACATGTGAGCGAAATGCTGAAGGGCCGCAAGAACGAGCTGTCCAAAGCTGAGGAGAAGATGTACGAAGCCTGTGGCACCACGCCTTACGATGTTAAGCTAGCGAAGCTTATTTCCACTGTTGAAAATCTGCAGGTAAACACGAGCATGTTATTATAAATATATACATGGTGTAAATGTATATCAAAATTCTTTGTTTAAAATTGTACTTTAAATTATACATTAGATCATTCCCTACACCAACAAGGCATGGAATTTTCAAATGATGTGCAATCAATGAGTAAATTGATATTTTATGCATTAATTGAGGCAGTTGACTTAATTAAGATATTAGTCATCCATTTGAAATGGATTTACTAACGTGGAGCCTTAGGCACAAGGTTTTATTCTAAACTTAAGGAACTTTACCATTTTAAATTTTTTATTGCATTAACCATAACTGGTGTTGCCATGCGACCGAATAAAGCCGAACATAGGTCATGAAGTGGGACTTCTCGATTCAATAATAGATGAATAATAATAAAGAAGACTGATTTATTGAATTTTATTGGTATATATACATATATCATTCGAATTTAAGATTTTTTGAAAAATTAACAAAAAGCTGGCTTTCCATTTCAAAAATTCACACACAATCCTTAAAAATATATATCATGCCTTTTTACCTAAATATCCGTATTAAATGGTTTAAAATACAAAATGGCAATGTTACGATATCTTACATGGATTCAGACTACTTCAATGTAGTTTGTACAGTATCTTGACTTCGTTTGACGGAGGAACAACATCAACAAGGCTTAACGTTTAAGGAATTCCCTCGAGATGTTTTCCGTCATCTTTAAAGAAAGTAATATTGGATATCAAGTCTGTGAAATTATCTGCAAACTTACAACTTGCAGTCGCATAAATTTGGGCTATAGTGTATCACACTGTATACTGTTGTTTCTTTTTAGAAGAAAGTACATGATAAATTAATCAAGACCACAAAAATGTAATCTGTTTTAACAGGACGAGAAGAATGTTATCAACTCGTCGATGATCGTGGTCGCTAAATATAAATCGAAGCTAAAAGACAACAGCTGTTGTCCGCTTTGCAACCGAGGATTTGAAAGTGAGACCGAGGTAGGTACAATCTGAATATTTTGTTATTAGGAATTAAACCTTACATAGCAAGTAAATATTATATATTCAATGCTATTATATAACAAAAAAATACATTGTAAGTGTTTTGTAAAAAATTATATCTGCAATACAACATTGAACCTTTCAGTATCGGAATTAGAATATCGAAATGATCTGTCCGAGATTGCAGTGTTAAGAAATTCCGGAACGAAAGCTGAGCATTATTAAAAACGGTATAAATGTTTCAGGTATCAGATTTAATATCCCAGCTAACGACTCAAGCGATGAACGTACCGGCTCAACTGGAGAAAGTGACAGAGGAGCTGCAGCGCGTTTCGGCCGAAAAGGACGACCTGTTGGCCATGAAATCGTTGAATGAGAAAATTACTACTTTGAAGGAAACTGACATACCCAATTTGGAAACTAGACTCCGTGATGTTGATAAGGTATGTATGTAGTTTTGTAGATGATATTAAATTAGTACTTTGTCTCCTTTTGAAAGAGTTCGTCGTCGTCGTTCGTATTTCTGCCGCCAAGCAATAATGTGTGCATTACTGCGTTCCTGTTTTGAAGGGTAAAAGTGTTGGTGAAATTACAGTCACATGGGACTTGTCAGTTTATGTCTCAGAGTAACGGGCGCAGTGGCAATCACTTAGAACGTTCCGATTTAAAGCTCCGAGGGGCACTGCATCTGTTATGGACAAGGGTATCGTTTAGAACAAGGTTCGCGACTTGTTCATTCCATCACTTGGTGTCATTAACACAAAATCACGTGTAGACGTATTGTCATGCGTCGTAGTAATAGGCATCACAGCATGATGACGCCTTTGATTAGATGGTTACCGTTTAAGAGCTCTGCAATAAGGTAAGAATCGTTTAATACAAAACTATTGACCACTGAATTCCCATGTTAGAAAAACTCTGAATAAATAATGAGAATGAAAGGTACGAAAATGCACGCGGAGTTACATGGTAAGGCTTGAGTATAAAAAAATGAATATTCTCTTGACAAATATCCCTTATCGTAAACGTGACTACTACAAAATTTGTTATTATGGTAACGTACTAACTGAGACGCACTCACAATTTGATTAAAAATTGCAATTTTAAAACACATGAATTCCGTGATGTTTTCCCACACCGCAAGGTTTACTTCCTATACTACATCAAGGGTAGTTACAAAACGAGGCTACAATTCAATTTAGCGACATGAGGCGACTATTATTTTGTCTTTTCCAGTCATGTTTTAATATGCTTTGAGAAAAAGAGACAACAATAACAACAACTACGGCGAGCGACCCGTCGAATATAAGTCGCTTACTAAACCGTTTCATCATAGATTGTAATTTGTACAGAAAATAACAACCGTGCAAGAGACAATAGAGGAACTGAAGAAGTCGATGGCGGAGCCAGATCGCAAACAGCAAACTGCCAAGCAGATCCAAGGCGACATGCCGCTACTCGACCGCATTGTAGCTGAGATCAAGGCCACTACGAGAGAAGTAAGTTCCATATATTCAATTAATTAAACTATGCACAGACTTCCGCGCGCTATGCTCCTGACACCCTTCTCACATCCTCCACTCGCGTCAACCATTTCATAAATACCCAATAGATCTTGGTACTTTTGACTATCTCTGATTGATACGTTCGCCAAGGTCGACCTTCCCGCGTTTCTCTCAACGTTCGCACTATAAATTAATGTTGTTTTTATACTAACATACGGAATACTCTATATACAAACCATCGAAGCGTTCCTATTTCTATTTACATTAAAATACTGGTAGAATCAATTATTAACTATTGTTAACTATACTGTGCTGTAATTAAGATATTTTCTTTTCAGTTCGAGTCACTAAAGACTCAATGCGAAGGCCTAGATATGGACATGACGATTGACGAAGCGACAGCAAAACAAACCGAGATCAAGCAAAAAGTCACCGCTCTGAAAGCAAAAATCAAAGCCGCTCAGGCCAAACTTAATCAATACGACAAGAAAATGCGTCAAATGACTGATAAGAAGAACAAAATTAAAGAGGAATTGCTTAATATTCAGAAGAAGGTAGGTTGATTTCAACTAACAGTAGAAAGAAAACCGACTTAGCCGTTATAATCACTATTCTTCTTCTTATTGTATCGATAGCATATATACATGACATACACTATACATATTGCTTGTCGTCGTGGTGAAAGGATTTGCCATTCGGCGTAAGGTATTCGCCGATTGTTGCCCAGAGTGCACCAGACGTACAGGAAAGGCACACCATTGGTTGCTGAAGCATAGCTGTTGGAGCAACCTCCACTTTTGTAGATCTGAAAAGTCAATACTTTAATATGTTAGTTTTTAATTTGGTATGTTTTGGTTATATCACGCGCTTTGAAATTTTAATAAAACCATGTCAGTGTGGAAGAAACGCAGATCATCTCATTTTTAAAACTTTTTATTCACTTTGCTGGCCAAAAAGAAACTAGTTCTCCCCATGTTATAAAAGACGAAACTTCATGCTGGTGCTTCGGCGTGCAGAGAAAGTATGACTGGAAATAATGTAAAATACCTGAAATGGTTCAGTAGATTCTGAAACAAGTTTCATTTTCATAATATAATAGCTTGACCAAGCACTTTAAATGCAATAATTTCTACCAGGTACAAGAAATAGTGAACTTGCAAGAAAATAAGAAACAGATTGAAGAGAACCGCGAGCGATTCGTGCAAGAGCTGGAAGAACTGCAGAATGAAGTCGCACCGCTCGAAGCGCAGCTAAAAGAGAAAGAAAATGAGAAAAGTAATGTCGTAAACAAAAACAGGTACGTACTTCGTCCTACAACGAATCCGACAGTCAAAAACACATCCAGCTTGACCCCTGGAACTGTTCTTATTGCATGCAACATAGTTTAATTCAAAAGTTAAGTGTCAAGCTATACATGCTCTTGACACTGCACCGCTGTTATCTAATCACAGTTATTTTAAATAAACTTATTCCCTTTAAATCGAGATGCGTCTCATCTTGAATAGGTTACAGGGCCTAATAAAATTACTTCTACTTGGCAATAGAATTCCAGATTACTTTTCGTCATAAACCAATAACTCAATAGTACTGCTTATCACGATACAAGATAGCGTAGTCGAGCATTTAGTATCTATTGGTGCACCAGATGTCGCAACGAGTACCTAATAGATATTTTTGTAACTAATTTGTTTTATATTGACAAGTAGTATTTTATCAAAGCTACTCTAATTTCTAGTAGTAACCAACAAACCAACTAGATGACGCTTATTGCATAGATGGTTATGGATAGTGCCGGCTATTCTTTTGTTTTGTTTATAATTAGAACCAACGTGTAAATTACTTTGTAACACACAACGCCGTCTATTGACACTCATACTCGTATTTGTCAAAGTTTAGACAATAATTTTAGCTCATTATCAGTATTTAAATAATATTACAAGGAAAAAACTGACTTCTTATATTTCTTTTTAAAGAGGAATTAATTGGTATCCACGGCCATTTATATAAACTACTTCCAGGCCATTGATTAGCGCTATCTACAGATATAAGACGAAGTTTTGATACTTTTCATAGCTACGATCTGTAGTATAAACCAAATATTGTCGTAATTCAATATCTGGTATTGAGAAAATACAGTTGGAAAGTTAAAAAAGTACTGAATGCATTGACTTACATTTATTTGGAAGTCAATGACTGAATGGATCTTATTGCGAATAATGCGATTATTTTTATTTAAAAATAAAACTTAGTTATTATAAACGAAAATATATATTATGGTGGTATTCATTCAGTTATTTTTTTTTTTTTTTTTTTTTTTTCAAATCGTATTTTCTTAGTTCGACAATTTTGAGTTATGACAATATTTGGTTTCGTGTGCGATATGTAAGACCGTTTTCTTAGAAACATAATAGAAGTGAAGATCGAAGAAAAGAGAGGCAGAGGAAGACCGAGACGAAGTTATTTAGATCAGATAAAGGAAAAAGTTAATGTCGTGTTGTATCAGGAAATCAAGGCTAAAGCGCTAAACAGAGATAATTGAGATTACTCCACCGACAAGAGCCTAGCTCTTAAATGAGAAGAAGAGAAGTGCGATATGTTAACAAAGGTGTTGTTGGCGCTGCAAAAAATAAAAATATTGAAGAATCGTGCAAATATGTGAAAGTTCTGAAAGAACATGATTTTTTATATTATATTGTGCTTAAAATTGCAAACAAACTACTTATTATCTTTTTCTAAAATGAACCTAAAAAAGTGTCTATATTTCGTGAATCACTGACAGTGACAATTTTGTTTACATTTATGATCTCGAATCCCATGCGAGTAGTCATTCACAGTCATTTTCTTCCATATGAATAACTATAATATAAATATTTTCATCCGTATGTAAGTATAGTATAAATATTAATTTTACAGGAGCGCGATAGAACTCAAGAATTCTTACATCCAGAACATAGTAAACTCTTTCGACAAAGTAAAATCCATCGTCTCGGAGATCAGACTACACAAAGAGCGCAACATCCAGCGCGAAATGGACAAAATCAAAGAGGCAAATGAAAAGCTTATGGAGAAACAAAAACAGATTATGGTCGACCGTGATGCGCTCACAAAACGAATTGATACTTTAAAGGATGAACTTGCTAAACAAGATGTGAGTTATTTTATTTTTACCTCCTTTAGGGTTAGAGTCAGTTGGTAATAGTATTTTTTTTTTGTCCTTCTTAGGGCAGGCTAAGGCGTCTAATAAGGCATACTGCCAAATCTTAAATTTTTCTTCAATTAAATTAAAATTTATCTTATATTGCCATCATCAACAGTTCGTAGTCCACTGCTAGACATAGGCCTCTCCCAATGCGCGGCATTTCGCCTGGTCCTCAGCTCGTTGCATCCATCTGCTGCCAGCAGCCCTTCGCAAATCGTCACTCCATCTGGCCAGAGGGCATCTTACACGTACGTTTGCCGAGCCGTGGTCTCCACTCAAGAACTCGCTTCCCCCATCGGTTATCGGTTCTTGAAAAGATATGGCCAGCCCACTGTCACTTCAGCTTGTTTATTCTACCACCTATGTCGACGACCTTAGTTCTCTGTCGGATAACCTCGTTCCATAACCTATCCTTCAAAGAAACTCCGAGCATAGCCCATTTCATAGTTCGCTGAGCTACTTTCATCAGGTGAACTAACCGTATCGTGAGGGCGCATTTATTCGACACGAATTTCATCGTGCTCACCCCGCGCGGCCGCCGCGCGGTCGAAGAGCGGAGTCCGCGTTGCCGCCGCGTAGCGACCGCGTGCGTCTAACTGTCATGGCAAAATACCCTCTATTTGTTTAGCTTTTACGTTTTAGTTTAAATGAGCTTTCCGGGCACGCGGGCTGGCCTGGCTTGAATTTGGTCTACGCGGCGGCCCGCGCGACGGCCGGGCGGCGGCTGGGCGGTAATTTTATTGAGAAGAATTTAAATTTTGTTGCATAATAAATAGAATTCAGGTCGCCATTAATATACATGAAGGCGTGGTAACTGGGCGGTCGCCGCGCGGCGGCCTCGCGAAAACTTTGTTCTCGTGTAACTGGGCGCTCAGTGTCTACGGCTCGGCTACGTATGTCATAACAGGTGTCGTGTATTGTATCAATTGATATCCATTATACTTACACTAAAAATTTATTCATATAAAAACTATAACTACAGAAATCCGCATTTTTTAATCTCCTTTAGTGTCAGTGAGGATCATTATTAGTTTATTTTTAAGATATAAATAAATCTGGCCAGCTGACAGCAAATGTTTATGAGAAAAAAAACACACTGGATTTTGCATTTTTATAGTGAAGAATTTAATTTGAATTAAAGCACATTTGAATAGTTATTTGTGCGTCTTAACGATTTGTAATAGTATAATTGAATGTTTGATATTTCTAAATTATTAAATTAAACGTAACATGCAGATAACGTTGTTATTTTATTCCTAGTAAAAGTCATGTACGTCTTTTAATGTGGTAGAGCCTTTGAGGTGAGGTAATGCCTTTTGCTGTATGCACCCCACGCGAGTCTAGCAGGCTGAAGACTGTAATCGATTTCCCATGTCGCATTTGTGTTATTAGTATTGTGTGATCTGTGTGAGTTGTACCACAATCAAACATCCTACCGTACAAGTAATTAATTTTTTTTTTCAGATTTACAAACGCGACTTGGAAGATAATTACAAACTAAGAAAGGCTCAAACTGAAATAGAGAACTGTGCCAAAGATGAAGCAGAGTTAAATGAAAAACTGGCTGGAGTCAATATGGAAATGCTGAGCGAAAAGGAGGAACTAATCTCGAAACAAACTAAGATATTTAGAGAGAAATCGGAGATTCAGGGACTCTTGAAAGAATTACATGTAAATAACATATCTACTTGATTTGATAGTGTAAATGAAACACATAAGTATGTTCCTCAGAACGGCTCTCTTAAGAAGCGGGTTTGACCATACTAGCCCAGTGCAAAGGCCTCAAACGTCATTGAAGAATTTTGTGAACCTTCTTTCGCATGCATGCCATCACAATATTTTTCTTCACTGTTTAAGCACTACATACTTGTAAACTAATTTAAAAAATTGTTTTTAAAACAATGCACCAGGCTGTGTATGTTAATTGTAATTGTTAATTCAAATTGGGACATAAAAACAGTGTTATTTATTAATAAATTAAATAATTCGTCCAGGGAAGTACACCATCTTACCTATTTTCGCCGTCAAACACTAATATGAGCATTATTGCGTTTCGGTTTCACGGGTGCTGGTGAAATTACAGGCACATGAAACTTGTGGCGCAGTGGCAGTGCCCCTCAGATCTTTGCGATTTAAAACTCAGAGCGGCACTGCAACTGTTATGAACAGGCGTGTCTACTTAATTTGGAAATACAGTTGAAAAAAAAAATTGTTGCGTACTTTTACGAGAATTTAGCCAAACATAATGCTACCATTACAGGTAAGACTGACACAATTAAAGAACGAGTTAAAAAAGACACAAAACAAAGACATTGAGAAGAAGTACAGGGAGAAGTTCTACGAGTTGTACATAACAAAGGCCATTGATAAAGATATTAAGGACTACGGCGTCGCGCTAGAAAAGTGTCTGATGGAATTCCACAGGGAGAAGATGGAACATATAAATTTGATTATTAGGTATGGACACACGAAAACTTGTAAACACCTGTTTAAAGGTTTTGCACTCGTAACATTTTGTTTAAAACAACGGCGAGTCTATGTCCACGTGCCTGTAGGTAATTCGCTACTGTGTAGATTCTGATATTTATGTCATAACATATTATGTCCAGTGGAGCGCTGTAAAGACGGCTTCTCACGGCCCGTTTTTCAAAGGCAAAACGGGCGAGCTCGCGCAACGGGTGAGCCCAGACGACCCTCTTCCCACTCCGCGTTGGCGCCAGCCGTAAAAAAACGGGTCATGGGAAACCGCCTTAATAGACATCGATAACTCCGGCTTCATAAAGTGAATAACCTCAATCTGCCTAATCTTGCACATCAAATTGTTTGATTCTTTTCAATAATACAAATTAATACTTTCAGAGAAATGTGGAGGAAGATCTACAGAGGAAACGACATTGATTATATCGAGATTAAAACCGAAGGAAGCATATCCGCGGATTCGGAACGCCGAAAATACGATTATAGGTAAGTAGATGAGTTATATGGACGTAACTTTGTGAAATATGAGGGTAACTTTCAATTAACGAAAATTACTCGGAAACAGCACAATTGCAGCAAGGAAAACACAATTGATTGTTGTAAAAATACCGTTAAAATCTATGTAAAATTTTTAATTTAAAATGGTTTTAAACTTGAGTGCATTGAAGTGCATTATAGTTTCAAATTATTAAAATCTCTTCCCAACGACAAAATCATATATTTTTTAGCGTTTGAACCAATCGATAGTTTTAGCATACAGTCTAAAATGGCTTGAGTGGTTTAAGTTGTTTTAGCGAAATTTTACTGGTTGTTTAATTTGTGTATATAAAATGTTCGAACGCAGTTTGAAAGGATTGAATGATTGTTTGTGTGATTTGGGTTGTTTCAATAGATTACTACACAAGCGGCTAATTTGAAGGCGCCCTTAGTGAGTTTAGTGTTAGTTTATGGTTAGTGAGTACCTACGTGGCGTGAATCTCGTCACTTTACAACTTTGTTAGCAACACGAGTTCCTCCGCTTAGTTATCTCTTTGCACATATTCTTGCAAAGAAAATTGTTTCTTCTTTTTTAAGCCTATGTACCGTCTGTGAAGCTACTTTTCAGATTCAAAAATATCTTTGTTACAAAGATATTTTTGAATCTGAAAAGTTGGGGCTCTTTACCCCAACAATCCCATTTATTTTCAGGGTAGTGCAGTCAAAGAATGGAGTGGAAATAGACATGCGGGGAAGATGTAGCGCTGGACAAAAAGTATTAGCCTGTCTCATTATCAGATTGGCTCTTGCAGAGACATTTAGCTCCAGGTAAGAATGGTTTGGGTTGTATTCTTGTGATGATGTATTCTTGTACAGGAAATTAAAAAACTGATTTGAGTTTGGGGGTTTTTACGTAAATACAAACGTTTGTTTTTTAAAGACTGACCAGCAGCGTACGGGGCATAATGATTAACTTTATTATATTATAATTCATATCGACTCTCTTAACAGTCGTAACCAGTGTTAGACATTTTTCACAACAATGTATTTTCGGTTCGGCATTCACGTCTTAGATTGTAACTCGTTTCTGTCTAGTTCTATTAAGGAGTTCTATTCATATATAAAAAAGGTACACTATAAGATCTACGACGTTATTGGAGAATGGTGAGTTTTGAAATCCAAATAACGTTCTGTCAAAAATATCAAATATGACAGTTTGTGAGAAGAACGGTGTTATACACTAACATAGTATTTAAGTATTTTAAATTGTTATATTGTGATATAGATGATATGAAATAAATTATTATATTCTTGGTTGGTGATTGGTAATAGGTTTTGACAATAAGTCAAGATGTCGAACCTGGAGACAAAAACATGCTCAAAAACACCATTCATGTTGCGAATGCAACAGAATTTTTGTAATTAATGTAATTTTTTGTTCGAAGCAGTAAGTAAATGCAGTATGTAAATCAGGGGGTTAATTTTGCACCAATCAACTAACAGCACGTAATTGATATCCCAACTACTTATTTTTTGTATAAACTAACAAAGTTCAAAAAGACGGCTCACTTTTAATTTGTTCTTCCCAAAGAAACCACCACCACAGGCACTGTGCCAATATATTACAGTCACTTATTTTTTAACGAGCTAGTCAAGATATACTACATATTCTTCTTGGGTCTGGCTGCTACAATTAATATTTTCAATAATTATTTGTTTTAGGTTTGGAATCCTAGCTTTAGACGAGCCTACAACAAATCTGGATTGCGAAAACGTCCGAAGTCTGTGCGGTGCGCTCGGGGAAATAGTCCAGGAACGAATGAAACAGAAGAATTTCATGTTTATCGTCATCACTCACGACAGAGAATTCATCGAGTCCCTTGGTAACATTGACAAAGTTTCGCATTTCTATGAAGTATCAAGAAATGATGACGGAAAGTCTAGAATTAAGAAAATCCGTTTTTCCTAATTTGTCTCTTAATTAATAATAATAAGAACGTTTATGTAACAGTGAATTACAATTTATTTTATAGCCATTCCCTAGGTTTAAGTTAAAGTTTGTATTCTTTTTTAGTTTAAGAAGGCTGTGCCTTAAACTATAAATTCTGAACATTGAGTTACGATTTAAATGATTACAATTACATAATTACATTTTTTTTATTCTATAATTTGGTTTTTTATTAAAAGAAAACAATAATTTTATCATATAAATGATTGTTATTGGTGACTATTCTGTGCACATTTTTTAAGACTTAGTAATTCAATTGTAACTAAGCGAATAGTACGAACTACAAATCCCACACCATTACCAACATACAATATAATTGTTTATGCAATACAAATACTCTTTATAATACTAATTAAATAAGAAGCGTGCCTCCAATACCACCACAATCCATTATTTAAAATTTAATAGTAACTTAAAGGGACTGATTCAATAGACTTGACGTCATACACCATTAAAAGATATATTTTTATTAACTTTCTATAGTCTAAGAGTCCATATACATTTTTTTAATTTAAAACATCACATAGTCGCTGTTAACTTTTACTACGTGATTCTCAAAATAAACTTTAAAAAAAGAAACTCAAGAGTAGTCGCGAACGACGTGATTTGAATTAAGTAATTAATGAGTAAAATAAAATAAAACGTGAGAAAGAGACAACCACGAGTCCAAATTAAACATTAATAACTAATCCAGTAATGGTATTCAAAGGTTCACATATCGTAACTTGGTCAATATGTAATATCTTGCTCTCTTGTAGTACAGTGAGTGTCACCCCCAGCAACTCGGCAACTTGCGTTGAAGGAAAGGATTGAGATAAACACTTCGTTATATACGGGACTAGGTCTTCAGTGAAACATACACATAGAGCGATGAAATTTTGCCGTTCTGTATCTGTGAATGCTTGTTGTTCTCTAACGTAAAAAGCCATTAATACTTGAACAGCTTTTTCTAAAGATTTCCTAAATGAGTTGTAAACTTCTTTCACAATATTCAGCGGCGCTGTTACTCTTAAAGAGTTCAATACTGACAGCATACCATTGCAGTATTCTGCTAGAGGATAATAATCCAATAAATTCTCCGGAGGGCCCATTGCAGTATTTTCGCTCACCGGTCGAGGCACATTTTTAATACTCGGCACTTTATATGTCTTCATTTGGTTATCAAAATGATTATCTGCCTTATCCAATCCACTGTGAAATTGTACTAGTACGTTGTTGCGAAATAATGGTGTGAGCACACAACGCATATCAGCGCCTACTCTGCCGAACGACAAACATAGGTACATGCATTGGTTCAGTAAAGATTCAAAACTGGATTCGTCTTCTTTTAACAAGTCTTGATTTAATAATTGCGCCAATGTCTCCACCTGTAAAATATGATTCAGTAAATAATCCAAGTCTGTGTTCAAAACAATTATGATATACCCATATATAAAGGCAGGTTTCTTAAAAATCTATACTATAATAAGTTGTCTCATTTATTTATTTTTTTAACAAAAAAATAAGTGCGCATTTGACCTTCATCTGACCTGATGAAAAATGACAATGAGGTCGGCGATTAGCATACGCACGTAAATAATGCCTATTCACTCGCGCTTTGAAAAGGTCCAAGTTATAGCCTTCGGGGAACAAGACCGCAGGCAGGGGAATTCCACTCCCTAACCGCTCGCCTTATAAATGTGGAAGCGAAACGCTTCGCGAGAATCCTGGTATTCCACAACACAGGGCTGGAACCCTAGCCTACGTCTAGTCCCTCGATGATGGAACGGGGAAGGCGGAATCAAATTATGCAATTCCATCATACATTACTTAAAACAACAGCATCTATTTAAAAAAAATGTTGGTTATGACTACATAAACTGTTACCATAGTATAATATGACAAATAGTGCAACTTCCGCTTGTTCCGCGCTCCTATGTACGTCGCTTGGAGCGTAGGATTGTCACATTATTATTTCTTAAGCGGTCTTTTTTAAAGTCTAGACTGCGGCTAGTGGTCTTGATCTTTGTTTACATAGTGCACAATCATCCCTACTAATTGATTTAGCGTTTATGATACTTGCCTTCTGTTTCAGCCAACAAGACAAAGCACTAGTGCCATTGAGTTCATCATCTCGTATTTTCGACTCCTGCGCATCGGATAGGAATATCGATTTGTGTTGGGTTAGCACATTGAAAAGGTGTATCCTATGCAGCTCTACTATTCGCCGCAAAAGTCTTTCTGATGCTGTAACAATAATTTCACATTTAATATTCTCTGCTAACTTGTCATAACACACTGATACAAATTTTTTTTTTTTGTAATAGATAATTCCTATTGACACTTAAAAACGTCATAATAAATTTCGTACTATCGTATAAGATTAGGATTTTAAGAAAGAAATTAATATAAGTTTTATAAACAACACAATGCGTTCACTACGCCAATAAATGTCCCTGCTCTGAAAATGAAGACAACTACTGTCTGTACCATTGACAGAATACAGATCATGTGCATTATTAAAATTCATATTTTATAGAAAATTGAAATTATCTAATCTGGACTATAATTATTTGCTGAACGTGATGTGCATTTGCCGAGTAATAGTAATCTGATAATCACTACAAACACTTGTCAACACGAAATACGACTTATCGACCGGAAATAAGCCGATCAGAAAAAGCTTAATGTACACACATACACACAATGGCTTTTTCGCTTTTATTGCATGGACATACAATTCCGTACTGTGTTATATCTTACATTCGGTATTTTTTGCATCATCCAAAGCCTTTTCGAACCAGGCGTTCCTTGCCTTTAAAAAGTGCAGATGTAGACCATCAGAAGCTGCATTTGCTTTACTGACAGAATATTGCACACCTTGCTCATCATCGGTGGATTTGTAAACTGTGTTCGCTCTTCTTAGGTAGCCTAGAATCTAAATTATTTAAGAATCATGTTAGTAAAGGCAAATTATTATTGAATAAGTTACACTTGAAACATACTCAAAGTAAAAATGTCTGATGCAATGGAAGAAGGAAACACAAAGAGTATAGCAGTATAATAAATTTGCTTATCCCTCTACATCAAAGGAAGAAACACAGCCGAGAAAAATAGATTCTTATATAAAATCTGACCACAGCTTGGTTTTTTTTTTTTTTCAATTTTTTTTTTTTTTTTTATACATGACAGGCAAATGACTCCACTCCACCTGATGTTAAGTGGAAAGTGGTATCCAAACGCGAAGGAACCTAGTGCAGCGATGGAATCCTCACTGCACTAGCCACCTCCACCCTGCCTGCCTACAATATGCCTCTTCACGCCTCGTTTGAAGGACCCCATATCATAAGAGGGAGGGAAGACATGTGCCGGAAGGGAGTTCCATTTGTCAACCGTGCGGCAGAGAAAGGAGCCACCGAACCTTTTAGTACGCGATGGAATTCGGCAGGTAGTGAAACGGTGACTACGAAGGCCAGCACGCGTGGTTCTGAGCAGGAACGGGGAAGGGGGGATGAGGTTAAACAGCTCTTCAGAGCACTCACCATGGTACATGCGGTAAAAGGCGCTAAGCGATGCAACATCTCTACGCAGTTGCAGAGGTTCAAGGCGTGATGAGACCTCTTCGTCGCCTATGATTCGAGTAGCACGACGCTGTAATTTATCCAAGGCATCGAGTAAGTACTTGGCGGAGCCGTCCCACAAGTGCGAACAATACTCAACGCAAGACCGGACCTGTGTTTTGTACAGCAGGCATAACTGGTCCGGCGTGAAAAAACGTCGCACCTTGTTCAGGACTCCGAGTTTCCGTGAGGCTGTTTTGATCACAGATTCGATATAGCTCCTTGGATTCAAATCACAGCAGATTTCCATACCGAGCAAGGTAAAACTGCTCTGAGGTGAAAGTGCTGTGCTCATCAGAGAAGGCATGGGAAGGAACGGCGACAATTTTGTTGTTAACGCGCAAACCTGTGTTTTCTTGGCGTTGAACTCAACAAGATTACTGGATCCCCATGCAGAGATAAGGTCCAATATTCTATTGAGCTCAACGACAAGATCAGATCGCTCTCTGTCAGTATCGGCGCGCCCAGCTGCGGGGAATCCATGATATCCCCCATGAACAGTGCTATCATCTGCATAACAATGAATATTCCCAAGTGGAAGCATATCATTGATATGCAGAAGGAAAAGCGTGGGAGATAGGACGGATCCCTGCGGTACGCCGGCGTTCACATTCACGAACCTCGAAATGCTGCCGTCAGAAACGACGCGAATTCTCCGCTCACGAAGGAAATCGGCAATCCAGCTGCATAACTGGGCTGGCAAACCGTACGCCGGGAGCTTGGAGAGAAGAGCTTTGTGCCAGACCCGATCGAACGCTTTGGCTATATCGAGGCTAACAGCCAACGACTCGCCACGTTTGTCTATAGCCTCACCCCAAATATGCGATAAGTACGCTAGAAGGTCACCCGTTGATCGTTTCGGACGAAACCCATACTGCCGATCATTAATTATGGAGTGATCTTCTAGGTATTGGGTCAGTTGTTTGTTAAGGATCCGCTCTAAAACCTTGCATATTATGGAAGTAATGGCTATGGGACGGTAATTATGCGGGTCTGATCGGTCGCCTTTTTTGGGAACTGGTTGCACATTAGCCTCTCTCCAAGAGTCCGGCACACGACCTGAAGAGAGCGACAGACGATACAGTCGCGTTAGCACGGGGGTCAACTCAGCTGCGCAG